AATTTTGTAGGTCCTTAAGCCAGATTTCTTCCATTTTTTGCGCCGCAGGCGAAAATTTTGAGAATTTTGGAGGTCCTTAAGCCAGATTTCTTCCATTTTTTGCGCCGCAGGCGAAAATTTTGAGAATTTTGTAGGTCCTTAAGCCAGATTTCTTCCATTTTTTGCGCCGCAGGCGAAAATTTTGAGAATTTTGTAGGTCCTTAAGCCAGATTTCTTCCATTTTTTGCGCCGCAGGCGAAAATTTTGAGAATTTTGGAGGTCCTTAAGCCAGATTTCTTCCATTTTTTGCGCCGCAGGCGAAAATTTTGAGAATTTTGGAGGTCCTTAAGCCAGATTTCTTCCATTTTTTTCAAAATGTTGATTTTAAAGTACATACTTTCAATAAAGTACAAATTCAATTTCGTAAGTACGGAGGTCGATTTTAAAGTACTGTACTTTCAAATAAAGTACGAATCCGAGCCCTGGTTTATCTGGCTTCCTCCGTAGCAGGAAGTACCTCCACATAGACCATAGGTAAGGAGCTAAAACAAACGATCATAACTTTGTCAAATCAAGTCAGATTTCGTTGATTTTGGTGTCATTCGACTCAGCTCGATGAGCTCTTTCGAATGAGGTATAATTTGCATTTTCGAATTTTTCACTCCAAAAAAGTGCTTGGTCCCCCCTATGGTTTTTCGATTTTCGCGGACCTATATCTCAGCCCCTCTATGAGTCCGCACAAAAATTTTTTCGCCATTCGACATAACTCGACGAGCTCTTTCGAATGACATATAATTTGGCCTATTTCGGATCTGTTCGTTTTCCGAAATTATACCAAAGAACCTTGGTTTTATGTCCGTAAATAATTTGAAGATTATTATAAGTCCGCAAATTTTTGCGGAAATTTTTTTGCGGATTATTCAGGTCCGCAAATAATTTGCGGATTATTCAGAAAATTTGCGGACAAATTTTGCGGATTATTGCAAGTCCGCAAATAATTTTTATAGTTAAAAAATTTTTAAACTTCAAAAATTTTTTCAAGGCATTTACAAAATTAAATAATTCAACACCTATCGCTTTTTCCTCCTCCCATAGTGATAAAGGTCAATTCTATTCTTCTGGTGCTACCAGTAACAACAACAATAATGCTCGAAAAACATTGTTGAGAGAATTATTGGATAAAATTGAACATTGTGTTTTACATTCAATTAAAAGCGCTTTAGCTTCTTTATTAATGTTTGTTTGTTTTTTGTATTTTTAAATGTTTTGTGTTTTTTCCGGAACATGTTTTTACTAAAAATTTGTTCAAATGTAAAAGTTTTCCGGAAAACACAAGAAAACACAAAAACATCGAATAAACAAATTTTCAACAAAAACATGTTCCGTAAAAACACACTCAACTTTTCCGGAAAACATGTATGTAATTAAAACTTCAGGAAAAACATTGTTTTAATGTTTGTTTAGTTTTCCGGAAAACACAAGAAAACACAAAAACATTTAATAAACAAATTTTCAATAAAAACATATTCCGGAAAAACAAACGCAACTTTTCCGGAAAACATGTAATTAAAACTTTTAGAAAAACATTGTTTTAATGTTTGTTTAGTTTTCCGGAAGATGTTTTTCCCTGTTTTCTATTTTCCGGAAAACACAATAAAACACAAAAACATCTGATAAACAAATTTTTAATAAAAACATGTTCGGTAAAAACACAAACTCAACTTTTCCGGAAAACATGTAATTAAAACTAGGAAAAACATTGTTTTAATGTTTATTTAATTTTCCGGAAGATGTTTCCAACAATAAATATGTACTTTAATAAAAAATTTTTATTTTTCCAGGTTTACAGCAACAGATATAATATTTTCTTCAATTCCTCATTTTACTGCTATTTTTGGTTTTGATGTTTATGAACAAATTGTGGTAAATTTATAATTAAAATATTTTTCCTTTAAATTATTTTAGATTGGCTCAATTCAAGATTTGACAACAAATATAAATTTACGAATTGATTCTTTAACAGAAAATGAAGAAGAAGGGAAGGGAACAGAATTATTAATTCTTTGTGCGCTTTTAAGAAATTTATGTTTAAAACATTTGGAATATTTATTGGAATTAGCACAACAACAATATAGGTGTGTTTTTGTGTGTTTTGTTTAATTAATTTATTTTCCTGAAGATGTTTTAATTAAACATGTTTTGATTATAAAATGTATTTTCTTAAAACTTTTCCGGAATGTATTTTAAATAAACTTGTTTTAATGCGTTTTGAACATGTTTTTGCAAAACATTTTCCGGAACAGTGTTTTTGTTTTTATTAAAGCGTGTTTTGTTGTTCTAATGTGTTTTAAACATGTTTCCGGAACTTTGCTTTTGTTTTTATTAGACATTGTGTTTTTGGTTGTTTTATATTTTTTCCGGAAAGTTTTTCAAAAACAATTGGATGTGTATGTGTTTTCTTTTGAAAACTTTTCCGGAATGTGTTTTAAATAAACTTGTTCTAATGTGTTTTTAATATGCCTGGAAAACATTTTCCTGAACTTTGTTTTTATTTTTATTAAACATTGTGTTTTGTATATTCCTTCCGGAAAGTTTTCCAAAAACACATTATTTAATGTTTATAAAATGTGTTTTCTTTTTAAAACTTTTCCGGAATGTATTTTTGTTTTTAAGGCTCAACGATTTTCACTTCTCTAACCAATACAAACTTACAAACATTGAAACACCAACAAGTCAACTACAACAAATAATAGAAAAATTGTTGAGGAAATATATACAAGTTGAAAGTTTATCACTTTCTAAGGTCTTGTATATTTTCTGAAAAAAGAAATTTTGTTTTCAGATTGCAAATAAATGTATTTTTACTTTTGAATGGGCAGAATGTTCAGAAACTCCACAACGTGTACGTACTTTAATTAAACATTTGGTACGTTCTGTGGCAGAAAAGGATGTTGATGTGGCTGCTTTAGTTAGTCTTTATTGTAATAAATGTTAAAAATTTTTTAATAATCTTTAAGTTGGAAAATGATGTTTTTACTGCTTCGAAGGAGAGAACCCCAGAATCATCGCATGGGTAGAGAAAAACAAATAATTTTAAAACAGTGTTTCTGAAAATACTTTTCCGGAAAACACATGTTTAATTGAAATACATTGGAATATTTCTCTTTAAAATACATGAGAAAAACATTCCGGAAAACTAACAAAAACACAATGTTTTAATAAAAAAGAAAGTTTTGAAAATACATTTCCGGAAAACACATGTTTATTTAAAACACATGTGATTATTTTTACTGAAAATACTTGAGAAAAACATTCCGGAAAACTAACAAAAACACAATGTTTTAGTGAAAAAAGAGCTTTTAAAATTCCGGAAAACACATATAATTTAAATATGTTTAAATAAGTTTATTTAAAATACATTCCGGAAAGGTTTTAAAAAGAAAACACATAAAAGTTTAATTAAAACATTTTCCGGAAAATTAATTAAAAAAGAAACACAACCAAAACATATGTTTATGTTTACTTAAAACATCTTCCGGAAAGGAAATAATTTTTAAATTAGAAAAAAATTTCTTTCAAGTTATTATACAATGAGAAGAGCAGCAAGTGTAGCTAGTAGCGTCTACAATAATAACAATAATGACAACAATTCTTCTTTGGGTGGAAGTAGTGGAGGAATAGTTGAACGTCTTTGGGGGGATGATGATAATGATGATACCGATGGAGAGGAAAATAATAAAAATGGTGAAGGAGCTATAAAAGAATTTTTGGCTAATTTAAAAGTGGAATTTAGGAGGGATATTGTAAGTTTTGAATTTTTGTGTTTTCATTAAAGAAAGCTAGAAAGTTTTAAAAATAAGAATGTATTTTCCGGAAATTTCCGGAAAACAAGTTTAATTAAAACATTAACTTACAAAACATAAATTTACATTAAAACAAATATGAAAGGCAACCCGTGTTTAAGTTTTTATGTTTCCCAGAAAACACTTTCCGGAAGATGTTTTTATTAGAAAAATGTGTTTAAGTTTTGATGTTTCCGTAAAATGTTTTATAAAAATAAGAATGTGTTTTCCGGAAATTTCCGGAAAACAAGTTTAATTAAAACAACTAAAATACATTCCGGAAATGTTCTATGAGGAAAACACCTCATAAACATGTTCGAAAAATACATTCCGGAAAACATGTTTAATTAATAAAAACATTTAAAATATGTTCATTTAAAAGGTTATGAATGCTTTAATTCGTCTGCTGAGTTTGTATTTATGTGAATTTGTTCGTGCACAACCCAAATTTTCAAGAAACGGATTAGAACAATTACAGGTGAAAAAAAATTATTTTTAAGAAGATTTTTGCTTTAAAAAATATTATTTTAAATTTTAGGTCGATTGTGCATATATGCGACAGAAACTTTGGGCACATGCTGGAGATGAACATATGCTTAATATGTCGATTGAGGATGTTGTTACGGCTGCTGGTAAAAAAATAATTTTTTCTCTTAAATAAATTTTAATTAATAAAGTGAATCAATGTGCCCAACCAAAATTATTAGACCCTTCTGTTGTAAGAGCTATATGTGAAGAAAATTGACATTAGAGAAATTTTAAAATTAAAAAAGTTTTCAAAATATTTATTGCACTTGACAAAATTATGTAAAAATATGAAAGGCAAAGAAAAAGTATAAATACATCAATAAAAATTAAAAAAAAATAAATCTGGTATTTTTATAATTAAAAATGTAGTATGTATAAGGTCAATATTAAGAATTAGACTTGTGTTTTTAGAGTATGTTTTTGCGTGTTTTTCCGGACAAATAATTTAAAGGTAAGTTTTCCGGAAAATGTTTTGATTGGGAAAAACCATGTTTTAGTTTTAATGTTTCCCAGAAAACACTTTCCAGAAATTGTTTTTATTAGGGAAGATGTGTTTCGGTTTTAATGTTTTCAGGAAAATGTTTTTAACTAAGGAATGTTTTAATTAAATGTTTTTCCGGAAAAGCTAAAAACATATAACAATTAAAAAAGTTAGTTGTTTGTTGAGTAGGAAGATGTTGAATTCTCGTCATTACTTAACACAACATGGTCAAATTCTGAACAAAACATTTCTGTTGAGCTTTCAATGTTTTTAATGTTGTTGTGAGGAAATATTGTTGTTTTAGTTGTAGAAAAAGAAAAAAGTTTGTTGTTGTGTTTTCTAGGAATAGACAAACATTTTATACTTTTTAATGCGTTGTTGTTTACATGTTGTAATCGTTTTTTCCTTACAAACATTGCATAGCAGAGAGGAAGGAGAGCAAACGAACTTAATTTTAACATTGTTGCTGTGCTAAAAACATCGTCCCAACCGCGTAAATCAGAAAGAATAAAACCTGCCTGAAAAACAAAATGTTTTGTTTTTAGAGATATTTTGGAATATGTTTTGTTTGTTTTGGAATGTTTTGTTTGTTTTGGAATGTTTTGTTTGTTTTGGAATGTTTTGTTTGTTTTGGAATGTTTTGTTTGTTTTGGAATGTTTTGTTTGTTTTGGAATGTTTTGTTTGTTTTGGAATGTTTTGTTTGTTTTGAGATATGTTTTGAGATATGTTTTGTTTGTTTTTAGAAACGTTTTGGAATATGTTTTGTTTGTTTTTAGAGATGTTTTGAGATATGTTTTGTTTGTTTTCCGGTTAAATTTGAAGGGAAACATTTTCCGACAAATGTTTTTGTTTTTAGTTTTGTGTTTTTAGTGTGTTTGTTTGTTTTTTTTCCGGATAAATAATTTAAGGTAAAACATCTTCCGGAAAAGGTTTTAGTTGGAAAAGTGTTTTAGTTTTAATGTTTTTCCGGAAAACATTTTCTTGGGAATGTTTTTATTATCCAAACACTGTTTTATAAATGTTTTTCCGGAAACAAAGAAAAATTACCTGAACACAAATAAAGTTGTATGGAGCGAGCCCAACAAGCACAGAAAAAGTAAACAACGGTAAAGGAATGTTTAGAAAAGGAGCAACAATGTTGAGGAGCCAGGATGGTGAGATCGGAAACATTCTTGCGAATAAAAGGAAAGCTAACAATCTGTGGGAATTGTCGTCCACTTTCCTTTGTAAATAATTAATTTTTTCTCCAAAATAATACAAAACATATTCTCGACTAAATAATTCTGAGAATAAATAACACAAAGTAGAGCCTATTGTAGTCAAAACGGAACAGAGTAGAAAGCCAATGGGTAGACCATAAATTGCACCGGCAATAATATTCTTTGAAAAAATAAAAAATTTTTGAAAGTAAATTTTTTTTGAAATTTCGAAAAAATTTTTTTTTGAAATTTTTAAAATTTTTTTTTTGAAATTTAAAAAAATTTTTTTTTGAAATTTTTAAAAATTTTTTTTGAAATTTTTAAAAATTTTTTCAGAAATTTTTTTAAAAATTTTTTTTGAAAAAAAAATTTTTTCAAAAATTTTTTAAAAATTTCTCTACCATAAAAAAAGACCCAGGGATAGCAAATGTTTGTTTATACAAATAAATACAGGTAAATAATGTAAATATGTAGGCGTTATGCCTTTGTTCATAAAGCCGGAAGCGGGCAGTGAAAGAAGTAAAATTTTCAAATTGAGTAGGTAATTCTAATACAAATGGAGCTGGAGAAGATAATGAATCGTCTAAAAATTAAAATTAATTTTAAAAAATTAATTTTTGATTTTTGAAAAATAAAATAAAATTTTTAGTCATGTACTCTTATGCCTGCCCACACTTCTTTTAAAATTCATAACTTTGTTTAAACTAAAGCTAATATTTTAAAACTTGGCATTTTTATAGCTCTGAGTCCCCTCTATCATTTAAAATAAAAATTAAATTTATATCTCTATTTAAACAAAAGTTATGCGATTTTTAAAGTTATCGCCTGCTAAGAATAAGTGGCTTGACCTCAGCTCATTAAAAATTCACAAGCCTGTTCGATCTTAATTCAAAAATCCTATTTTCAGTTATTTTATAGCTATAGATCTCAACTATCGTTTAAAAGAAAAATTAACTCGATATCTCTATTTAACCAAAAGTTATGGGTACCTAAGTCGCCGCCTCCTATTATCAAGCGTCTCGATCATAACTACCTAAAAGTTCATAAGTCTTTTCATTTTTAATTTAAAAATTTAATTTTCAACCATTTCGTAGCTCTGAACCTCCTCTATCGTTTAAAAGAAAAATTAACTAAATATATTTATTCAACCCAAAGTTATGGGTCCTCAACTAACACCAACTCAAAAATACCCCCCACTAAACTAATTAATTATAAAAATTAATTTAAATTCACCTCCTTCACTCATAAATTTTTTCTCAACATTTTTCCTTTCAATATTATCTGTTGTCCTATTTTTATCAGTTATTTTTGATGTTTCCGCAATTTGAGGCCATTCAGGTGCATAACAAATTAACAACCAAAGTAGTAAGGTGGCAGCAACAAAAATAGCAGGAAGAAAGAAAAGGCGTGTGATTGTCATTCATAAATAATTTTTTTTATTTTTTAATAGTTAATCCATCAGAAAATGATTAAAAAATTAATGGAAAATTTTTTAAAAAATTTAAATTAAGACAAAAAAAATTTCTTAAGAAAATGGGGGGCACAAAGTCGAGGAAAAGGGCCTAAGTTGATTTAAAATTTCCCAAGAAAAAAAAATAAAAAAAATTTTTTTAAATTAATTTTTTGTATGATTAAATAGGCCAGAATATTAGCTACAAAAAATAATAAAATTAAAAATTTAAATGAACGGGAAAAAAATTAATTATGGCCAAAAATCAAAGGATAGTAGGTCAATAAAAGCCTGAGTTTATGCAGGTTTTTTGGCCATAACTTTTTTTCCTCTCAATAAAAATTTTTAATTTAAATTTTGTTTTATAGAGAATTTAATTCTCTATCGAATGGTACCAAGCTCGTTTTTCAAAGATTAATTCATTTTAGAATTATGGGGGAAAATTCAAGCCAAGTCGTGGTCGTTCACTCCCCCTACACTATCAAAGGATTAAAATAACTCTACAATAATTCTGTCCAGAATGACTAATAAAGAACTCAAATAATTGCAAAATGAACGCTTCTTTAGACAAAAATTTAAAAAAATTAAAACACAATTTTTTTTCTTATCAAAAAAAGAGAGGAGGGACATTTGGTCCCAAAATTAAAAATAAATTATTTTTAATCTAAAAACAGGAAATCCTCTTTCCCAAAAAATATTTTTTAGGAAGGATAGTAATATTAAAAACCCCTCTAGACAAAGATTAAAAAATAAATTAAAACACAATTTTTTCTTATCAAAAAAATGAGGGGGGACATTTGGTCCCAAAACAAAATATAAATTATTTTAATCCAAAAACAGGAAATCCTTCTTTCCAAAAATATTTTTTAGGAAGGATAGTAATATTAAAAACCCCTCTAGACAAAAATTTAAAAAAATTAAAACACAATTTTATCTTATCAAAAAAATGAGGGGGGACATTTGGTCCCAAAATAAGACATTTGTTCCCAAAATTAAAAATTAATTTTTAATCCAAAAACAGGAAATCCTCTTCCCAAAAAATATTTTTTAGGAAGGATAGTAATATTAAAAACCCCTCTAGACAAAGATTAAAAAATAAATTAAAACACAATTTTTTCTTATCAAAAAAATGAGGGGGGACATTTGGTCCCAAAACAAAATATAAATTATTTTAATCCAAAAACAGGAAATCCTCTTTCCCAAAAAATATTTTTTAGGAAGGATAGTAATATTAAAAACCCCTCTAGACAAAAATTTAAAAAAATTAAAACACAATTTTATCTTATCAAAAAAATGAGGGGGGACATTTGGTCCCAAAATAAGACATTTGTTCCCAAAATTAAAAATTAATTTTTAATCCAAAAACAGGAAATCCTCTTCCCAAAAAATATTTTTTAGGAGGGATAGTAATATTAAAAAGCTAGTCGTTGGACCTTGAATAAAGAAGGATGAGTGGATGGATGATTGGTCAATAAAATAATAGAGAGGAGGGGACACGTCCAAGTAGGCGCGCGGCCAGGTAGGCGCAAAGCCATAACTAGCTGGAAAATTTCTGGACCTTAACAATTTTGGTACCAATCTCTTTAGCTCAATGAGAGGAACCGTTTAATAGTAAATTTGGTAAGATTAGGAAATTTTGAAGCAAGTTACGGTATTGCGCCTGCTTGGCTGCGCGCCTACTTGGGCTGTACCCAGAGGGAAGAAGAGATGAGCGAAAAACGAAGGGAGGGAGATTGAACGGCAATAAATTTATCAGAGCGAAAAAAAAATTATTTTTTTATTTATCAATGCTTAAAAACAAGACAAATTAAGAAGCAAAAAAAAAGACAGACAAAACAAGTATTTAAAATATAAATAAACGTGTTCCGGTGACGATGGCGCGATAAAATAAAAGGGGAGGGGGGGGGGGAAGGGAAAGAATTAATTTAAGTAGAAAATTAATTTGTTGAAAAAAAAATCAAAAGGGTGTGAAATGATTCATTCTCTCTGTTGATTTTAAGTAGATAAAGCAGGGAATTGATAAAATATTTTTTGATAAACTCTAAAGGTTCAAAAAACGAAAGGGAGAGAAATTCAAAATTCAAGGCTATACCCAATTGATCACCATTTTAAATATCGCCCAACTGATCAACACAAAATAGGGTACAGCCCAAGTAGGCGCGCGGCCATAACGGCGTAGAGCCATAATTTGCTTCAAGATTTCCGAATCTTACCAGATTTAGTATTAAACGATTCCTCTCATCGAGCTAAAGAGATTGTTACAAAAATTGATAGGGCCAGAAATTTTCAGCAAGTTATGGCTTTGCGCCGTTATTGCCGCGCGCCTACTTGGGATTGTCCCACTAAATATCACAACACCCAACTCATCAACAAACACACACACACCATATCAACACACCCAACTGCAACCCTAATTAGTACCCAATAGACAAAAAGATCAACTCCGCCTCAGACAAACAAGACTCCCGTCTGATCAACAGCCTAAGGGCAAGAGACTCAAAAATATTAAAACTATAGACTCTAACAGCCTGTTTTTGATTAATCAGATTTACCCCATCCAAAGCCAATTTAAGATAAATTTAAAGCTATTTTAAAAAATAATATTCTAACGTAATATTCTAAAAATACATCGCGGCAAATCAATATAAATAAATAAATATTCATTTTTTACCAGTCCAAATATTCCCCTCTATTGTATAGTTTAATGTAAAAAAGCAGTGAACTGGCAACATCCCTTAGCGCAACTTGAGGGGGCGAAAATAGGGAAGATGACGAAAAAAAAACTTGCTAAAGGATAAATTAGATTATAAAATTGAATTAGATGAGGATGGGAAGGATTAATAAAATTAAAGAGGAGTTCCTGTTCAATAGCCCCAGGGAATGGACATTAGAGTCTGAAAATTGGGAGGAGGGAAAATACCTCATCTCCCCTCAAAAATGTGATTCAAGTTTGGTCCTAAAAATTAAAAAAAATATTTTTAAAGCCTTCAATAATTATTTTAATAAATTTTTGATATTTTAAATAAAGAATAAAGCCAATTAATTATTAACCCTAAAAATAGGCTAAAATGCCCATTTCAGCCACTTTTTCGAACATAACTTTTTTTAAACAAACTCAAAAATTCTGAAATTTTGAAGTAACAAAGAAAACTGTTTTAGAAATAAAACTGCAAAATTTCATATTTATAGCTTGTATTTGGACTGTTTTATAAAATTTTAATTGACTTGAGGTCTATTGCCTTTATAGAAATTTTTGGTTAAGTGGGAAGAGGACGTCTACTCCCCCAAAATAGGTCGAAGGTTCGAATCCTTTTGATGGAATACATTTCTATTTTGTAAAAATAGTGTAACAAATTGATAAAAATTAATTTGGAAGGAAAATAGAACTAGGAAATTTTTTTAAAAGGGAAAATTTAAAAAATAAAATTAAAATCAAGAGAAAATTGAGGAAAATCGCGCCGTTTAGAACAGGGAAAAGCGCAAATAAATAAAAATTAATGGGTGAATGAGGGAAAATGAGGGAACAAAAAAATAAGAGAGGAACAGGATATATAAATCAAAAATAAAAATACGTACAAGTGCGTGACCTAAATTTCTTAAAAAATAGAAAACTTGTTTTTTCTAATCTTTAGAATGTAAAAATGAGGGAAAATCAAAAGGGAGAGGAAACCTTTATAATTATTAAAAGGTTAAGTAAAGGTTGATCTTGTAAAAAAAGGAAAAAAGATAAATGACAGGAAGTGGATTTTAAATTTAATTTTTTAAAAAATTTAATCGTGGATAAAAAAAAATTTTAAATTTTATAGTAGGTACTTATATTATGAAAGACTCTATGTAGAACCCCCCCCCCCCTCTCAAAAAAAATATTTTTGTTCAAGCATTTATGAACACACAAATTATATAAATGCAACATTACAAAAACAATTAAAATTAGAGACCTCATTTATGTGTAAAAAAAATTTTTTTTTTAATTTTGATTAGCTATAGAGTGAAAGTATACGTGATACTTAAACACAAATCACATCAGTATTTACAGTGAAAAAAAAATTTTTACACATAAATGTGGTTTAATTAAATAAAAATAGGAGGGGCTAAATTATATGTATGTATATTAAAAATATTAATTAAGAAGAATATTAGACAAGTCGAATCTCATTATAAGATAAACCCCTCAAGCACATGTTACCACACAAATATACAAGACAAACATATCTCAATTTAAGAGATGCACGTCTTCTCTTAAATTAATGGGGAGATGCTGGGTGGGTGTCAGGGTTGCCAAAATGGAACGACTCGGACTAAAAGATATTTGACCCGAAAAAGGACTCGCACGCCCAATTCGATAATCAGGCCCGAAAAAATGCCCCTCGCCCATCGGCCGACTCGAAAACGGCTACCAAATGGGTGGGTGTAAAGCTGGCCAAGCAATCCTTCCATTATTTTTAACATCAAAGGATCCTACAATTTTTTCAGTAACAAGGAGGAGATATATCTCATAACAAGATTTGACTTTTTAAAAAATAATTTAATTATCATTATTATTAACCTTTTTAATATTATTTTTCGCCATTTTTTTATTATTTGACGACGCATTTTTACGCTTTTTTCCTTCCCTAAAATTTAATTCTTTTTTAATTTCCTTATCAAATTCCTCAATTTCACTTTTTGTAAAAATTGGTAGAGGATTTTTTAATAAATTTAAATTGTTGTTACTCTCAGTTTTTATCAAATTTGGAGAAAGTTGTAAACCTAGAGAATTACAAACACGCCAAAAAACATTGTCGAGTTTTGCATTTATTATTAAATCTGCTTTTCTTTCCTTTAAAAAATTAAAAAAAATTTTTTAAACTAATCGTATGTCAAATAATCACTCTGGATCTTTATTTAATGAAAATTCTGGTGAAAAAAATTTTCTTAAAGAGGAGAGGATAAGAGAAAAGAGATATAGGGTTAGGATTGGGGGCCCGATCCGAAAGATCGAGACGGGCATTAAATTTTGACCCGAAAAAATGAGGTCCGAAAGAATGACTCGAACGTCTGCCCGATTCGAAAACCCCAACCCTATAGAGGATAAACTAAAATAAAAAAATTTTTTGTCACAAAATGTGAGCGCCAAAAAATTTCGAAATTTTAACCAATTTTCTATTAAGAGAGGCAAAAGAAAAAAAGGGAAAATTTTTCTAAAAGGAAGATTCTCTAACAATTTTCCTTAATAAAAATAAATTAAAAAAAACTAACGTGTTGTGTCTTTTGTAAATTTATTGTAACAAATTTCCCTCCATTACGCTTGCAAACTAAAGGCATATCTCCAACTGGCTTAATTTGAAGTGTTGTACCAAGACACAGGAAAAGATCACATTTTCTTTAGAAAAAATGAAAATTAAATTTAGGAAAACTTGAAATACGGCTAAACCTCATTATAAGATACAAGACTCTTAAGCAGGCAAGTATTCCCCCACCCCCTCCTCAAATAGGGAAAAGGAAAAATTTAGGGAAAAGGGTTGAGGAAAAAAGCGAATTTTTTCGGCGACGACCTTTTAAATTTCTCGCGACGGCCTGCCCTTATAAATTCAAAAAATTGGCACCTTATAATCAGGTATATCTTAAATAGAGGGTATAATTAGGCAACTTTTCTTCTCCTACTAAGTTTGGTAATACTGAAGAATACAGACCCGATTTTTTCCTCCCCAATTTTCCCCTTATATTTTTAAAAAATGGTCAGACTTTTTCCTTTCTTCCATCTATTTTGCCTTTCTAAGTTTTGCCTAGAATCAAACAAAAAGGATTATTTTTGATATTTGACAAGTATAAGTTTGAGAAGACTCATTTTCTCTATTAAAACAGTAAATAAAATATCAAAAATAATCCTTTTTGTTTGATTCTAGGCAAAACTTAGTTAGAAAGGCAAAATAGATGGAAGAAAGGAAGCTTGACCATTTTGTAAAAATATAGGGGGGAAATTGGGGAGGAAAAAATCGGGTCTGTATTCTTCAGTATTACCCTAAGTTTCCCCATCGAACAGTAAATCAAATTTATGAAAGCGTTCTTAAATAAATGTATCTAATGTTAAAGGTATAATAAGGTCTGGCTGTATTTTAAATAATTTTATTTACCGAACAAATTCTTGTGCAATTTGATAATCAGGTTCAGGCAATTTGTCTTCCCAATCTAAAGTAGTGTCGTGAAGGTCTCCATTACATTCAGAGTTTTCACATTGACGACCAGTGGGTTTTAGACCAACAGAGGGAATTGGAGAGTCTCGAAAATATTTTCTGAAAAAAATTTTGTCGAAATTTCGGGGTTTTTTTCGAAATTTCGAAAATTGTAAAGTTCGGAAAATCTCGAAATTTATTTTTTACGAAATTTCGGAAAATTTTACGAAATTTCGAAAAATTTCCCGAAATTTCTGAAAAAATTTCCAAAAAATATTTTCCAAACCTTTTACATTTTCCACATTTTTCCACAAAAATATTTCCGTGTAATTCAGCTAAACGTTCAATAGGAAATCCAGAAAGACTGTGCAGTCCATCAACATTTTGTGTTATCAAAAATTTAATTTTTCCACACTTTTCAAGTTCAGTTAAAGCAAAATGGGAAAAAGTAGGTGTGGCATGTTCAAAACTAACGCCCTCTGGCATTTGCCTTTTTTGACGTTCCAAAGTCCAGACACCGTTGGGGCCTCGAAAGTCGGGAATTCCGGCGGCTAAAGAAGAAAAATAAAATCGACAGAAATTATGGGATAGTCAAAAAGTGGAAGAGGTCAAGTGATAAATCAGTTTAGATAAAGGGGACAGTTAGGTAATGAACCAAAAAGGAAGGGAAAATTAGAGATCGGACTGAATCTGAAATTTAAAAAAATTTAGAGTTAGGTCGGTCTCTTGATTTCCCCTACTTTTTGGTTCTTCCACGTAGGAAGGATAATTTCTATTTTGGTGTTGGTTGGTGTTCCCATATCCAGACTCAAAGTCAAGACATTTTTCATAGTTCCCTAAATTTCCTTTGACATCGATTTTCAAGTGAATCTAGGTCAGAAATTCAGTTGTCTTACTTACAATTTGGAAACATGGTTCAGTCAAAGTTTCTTTAGATTTTCGATTTCTAGGAAGGAGAACAACGAAGGATAAAATTGGGCCCTTAAGAATTCATGGCCAAAGCCCAAATCCAGTCCCACCAAGTTTCTCAGCTTAAATTCCAACAGCAATTAGAATCCAGAAAGCCCAAAACCTTAAACAAAAAGTCCAAACCTGTACTAATCCCTGCCCCAGTCAGAACAACACAGCATTCACTGCTACACAACATTTGTACAAGAGAAGTGCATTTATTTGTTAAAATACGATCAGAATCGACCTTCTAAAATTTTAAACAAATCTTTAAAAAAATTAGAAAAAGAAAAAGAAAACCTCGGGTAACCCAACCCTCCCTTTATGTTCATATTCTGAAAGCGCTTTGGCGTATTCAAAAGACATCCAGAGATTGAAGTTTTAGGGCAGTTTTGAATATTTCTACAAGAAAACTGCTTCCATAAATACAACAAGAAGCTGAAAAAAAATTCTGATAAAAATTTTAAAAGACTAACAAGAAAAGACTGCGAGGTGTCCGACCTAAAAACGGCGATCGGGCTTCTAGCACAGCAAAAACGGCACAAAATCCTTGCTAGAAAAGGGCACATTCTCTATCGAATGAGCCCGGTCTCGACCGTTTTTAGGTCGGACACCTCGCAACCTTTCCTTGCAAGAAACTAGAGATCGAGCTGGAGATCGAGATTTTTGACCTTCCTGGAATTTTCCTGGGTCTGGGGTTTTTTAGACTACAGGCCCAAGATCCGGCCCAGGTCAATAAACCAAACCCAGAGCCTAGGAACAGTCCCAGGCTTTTCAAAAATCTCGATGGCTCCGGTACAAAATATGGAATCGTTAAAATATGGAATGGTTAAAATCGCGAAAAGGCTAAAAAGGGGTTAAAATACCGAATCGTTAAAATATCGAATCGGGTAAAAAAGGGTTAAAATATGGAATCGTTAAAATATGGAATGGTAAAAATGTCGACACGGCCAAAATCGGTCAAAATGTCGAATTCTTTTAAAAAAGGGTCAGATGAGTGCCATACATTGATTATTGATAATTTTATCAACTTATCAACTTATTGATGATAAGTTGATTGATAAGTCTCTTATGTCGTAGTCCGGCGCAATCTTTTCTGCCCGAGTTCAGTGTATTTTACGGAGTAAAACCGGACCGGATAAATTAAGCATAATCGACACCGGATCCGGTCCGGCATGATCGTACGGATCCGGAAAACATAACGCGATCCTGATATGGAAAAATTATAGTGGTGTGCATTAGTTTTTAGTTAAGACCTAAAGTTTGACCTTACCGTATACGGTATGGAATACCGAAAAACACCGATCAGCTTTTAAATTTTATCGGAAGGCATTCCGTACCGTACAACCGACACGGAATACCGAAAAATACCATCGGTATTACGGTACCGTCCGGATTCTAGTTTTGGCGCCATTTTTAAAAAATTCGACATTTTGACCAATTTTGGCCGTGTCGACATTTTTACCATTCCATATTTTAACGATTCCATATTTTAACCCTTTTTTAGCCTATTCGATATTTTAACCATTCCATATTTTAACGATTCCATATTTTAACCCCTTTTTAGCCTATTCGCGATTTTAACCCCTTTTTACCCGATTCGAGATTTTAACCCTTTTTTAGCCTATTCCATATTTTAACGATTCGATATTTTGTCCGGACACGATCTCGATCTCTAAAGGAAACTTAAAGAGAAAATAAAGAAAATTCCAAAAAATTAGGTCAACCTGAAGAGAGATAAGGTAAAAATGAGAGAGTAGGAAGAGAAAAAGAGAAAATGGGATGAAATGTCATTTTTAAAGAAAATAAACATTACGCCAAAAATAAAATAAAAAATAAAATTTTGAGTTCTTTTGACGGCGCTCCGACACGGGCACAGTGATCCATTTGCACAGTAAGACAATTGCACATTGGGCATCTGCACAGTGGACAATTGCACAGTAATTTGTGGTTAAGTGCATTTGTGTTAGACTTTCTGATAAGTTTTTTAATAATAAAATGATTTTTCTTAAACAAAAAACAATTCTCCCTGTTCTATAAGCAATTTTCCCCGTTGCTGGAAAAGTTGTTCGCGGGAGGCGAAAACATGCCGAGATATAGGCTCCCGAAAATCAAAAAACAATAGAGTAAACCAAGCGGTTTTTTGGGGTAAAAAATTCGAAGATACAAATTATAGCTCATTCGAAAGAGCTTTTTGAGTTGAGTCGGCTGACACCAAAATCATCTTGATTGGATGATTCTGAACGAAGTTGTGACTTATAGGTGAATGAGCCTTGCGTTTATTTGGAGTGTTTCGCGACTAAACAGGCGTTTTGCGAATAAATGGGTAGGTCGTTTTGCGAATAAACAAGACTTTACTGTGCAATTGTCCACTGTGTAATTGTCCTCTGCAAAAGTTTTACTGTGCAAATGGATCACTGTGCCCAAGTCGTGTCACCCTTTTGACAATTTAAAAGTGACTATTATTCCTCCAAATCATTTTATAAAACAAAAAGGAATGATTAATTGATCTGTTCGAGAAAATATAAAAGTATTGGAAGCAACCAGCTTTATTAACATTTTTATATTTTTCTTTACAATTAAATGAATCTTTTAATAAAATCCTGTATTTTTATTTTATTACTTCAACAAAATTTAATTTCTGCTCAAGTACTTAGAGGATTGCCTACGTTTCCAACATATAATCCTCCAAATCCGTTTGATTCCAAGTTGGTATTTTTTGAATTTTTAGACAAGACCTCAATATAACCTTTTTCTACGGTTACATAAAATCGCAAGACGTGCGCGACAGACGCTAGTTGTGTGGTTATATAAAATCGGCGTCTTCTGCAACGTGGCAAACGCTGATTTTATGTAACCACGCCACAGCGTCTATCGTCGGCGTCTGTCGCAAGACGCACACAGACGCCGGCGATGTAATTAGGGACTTAGACAACTAATTGCTTTGACAGCTTCCTTTATCCAGTGACCAACCAAAAATTAAGGAATGTTTCTTTAATCGAAGAGTTATCTAGCGTTGGGTTATTTTAAAGTGGAGGTTCGACTGATTTTTTTATTTCTCAAGAAATTGGGCAACAGCGGACAACTCAGCATCCAAATACCCCGACAACCGAAATTACAATTCTAATACAGTAAATAATAATGGCCCGTATTTGTACCGTTCACAAAATATTCCCTCACGTTTTGGGAATGGATGGTTTGTTCAATGTACTACAAGAAATTGTGCTACTGGATAAATAATTTATTTAAACAAATTTGTATATCAAAAATTCAAAAATATATGTTTCTGTATATTTCAAGGCTGTAAAAAAGCAAAACACGTAACAGGCCCTCTTGATGTTTCACAAAAAATTTTTGAGCTGATCTGTTAAAATAATACTCGTTAGTGTTTAACCGGAACAGAAATTTTGACCGGAACCGATTCTGGGTCATTTTATTAATATTTAAAAAAAAAACAAATCCTTAGGAGTGTAAAAATGTTCAGGTTTACATGGAACCGATTTGTAAACCGGAGCCGGTAAATGTCCAGTTGGCGGTCTACATGTCCGCAAAGAGAATCTGCTCTTTTCTTTCCTTTTCTTCCATTTTTTGCGTTGGGAGAAGTGCACCCCCTTATTTTCCGTCTTCAGCATTTTTCCTTCTCAATACAGTAAGTTTTCCTTTTCCTACTTGCAAAATATATTTTAAAAATTTTAAAAGATAATTTAAAAATATTTTAAAAAATATATACCGTATTTTCTCGATTAATTCCCCTGGGGAATTATTTTTTCAATCCTCCCTTGGCATGGGGAATTAATCGAGGGTGGGATTTTATAATGTTATCTATTTTCAAATAATTCCTCAGTAGAAAAATTCTGGATCCCATTGTTCGACGATCAAACTCTTGATCAAAAACTTGATCATAAAAAAATCCCTATTAACAGTTATTGAATATCTACATGGTTCCAATTGTGCTATTTAAGAATGTTATCCAAAACTTATTATTGTAAAATAAATATATTTTTTAAAATATTTTTAAATTATCTTTTAAAATTTTTAAAATATATTTTGCAAGTAGAAAAAGGAAAACTTACTGTATTGAGAAGGAAAAATGCTGAAAACGGAAAATGAGGGGGTGCACTTCTCCCAACGCAAAAAATGCAAGAAAAGGAAAGAAAAGAGCAGATTCTCTTTGCGGACATGTAGACCGCCAACTGGACATTTACCACCGGAGCCGGATCCAATTTGAGTTCCGGAACCGGAACTTCCGGTGAAACTCTATTACATACTTATGTATTATAAATAGTGTCGTTATGTATTTTGGACATTTTTACATTGTATACCTTTGGGCATTTTGGGATTGGGATTAGGTTTTTTCGATTCGAGCCGACGTTCGGTGTTTTTTTTAGCTTGGTTTTTTTCGATTCGGTTCGTTTTCGAGCTGAAAAGCCTCGGCTCGCTCGATTTTTCGAGTTTCGGTTCGAGCGAGCTCGCAACCCTAATTGGGATATCATATAATTTTGGACATTTTGGAACTTTTACCATTTTGAAAGTTTGACCATTTTGAGATAATTTTTGAAAAATTTTCAAAAAACCCACCACAGTATATGAAAACCTATTTCTACTACAAATAACATCTATCGATGCCCCAAAAGTCAATCGTCCAGCACTGAATATCAACTGTTTAGATATTGTTGGACTAACTACAATATTCTATTAAATAGGGGAAATCTTTAAAAATTAATTTTTAAACACACTTCATGCATTATTGTTCTCAATGTTTCGGAACTACATTTGGAATTTTCTGTTCCCAATTTTGAATAAAGTTTGTCTGATGAATGGGGAGAGGCATGTACTTTTTTGAATGAGAGCTCTGAGTAGTCGTTTGTGAGAATCTAAAACATGGAAAAAATTGACATTTTGTGAATGACATTTTGAAGTTGACATTTTGAAATTGGGCGTTTTGAAAAATTTACATTTTGAAATTAGGCGTTTTAAAATCGGAGCAGGACTAATGGGCGCGGCCGAAAAGGCGCGGACAATGCTGCGCCGAAAAAAACGGCGCCTATTCGTCCTTGCCTATTAGTCGTGTACTTTTTAAAATGAGTGTCTCGAGTTTGGACATTTTGAGAAATTTGACATTTCGAAACTGGACGTCTTGAAAAAATAGACGTTTTTAGATTGGACATTTTGAGAGTTGACATTTTGAAAATTTGACATTTCGAAATTCTGAATTTTCAAAAATTTAAATTCAAATCCCTACATCGTCCTTCCCATCAAGAGAGCTAGTTGTAGCCTTCTCTGGCGGTACCACAGCAAAAAGCTTCTTTGAAGTTGTCGTCTCCAACATTTTCGTTGTTGTCTTCAATGTTGTCTTAATGGTTGATGTAAATGTTTTTGTGTCTAACTCTTCGTCATAATCTGCCAATGCCAATTCATCATCTCCATATAAATCCATCGGAAAAGAATTTTCAAAATTTGTTTTCTTTAAAAAATTGATTTTAAAGGGAATTAAGAGTTTCTAACTGCGGCGGGTATTGCAGAAGCCAACTTGTTTCCTTGCACGTTTAGGCCTCCATTTCCTTTGCCTCCACTGACGTTTATTGCCTGAAATATTAAATGACATTTTGTCCCAATTTTCACTAAGGTGACATTTTGTCCCAATTTTCATTAAGTGACATTTTGTCCTCCAATCAATAAGGTGACATTTTGTCCCAATTTTCCTTAAAGTGGCATTTTGTCCCAATTTTAATTAAATTGACATTCTGTCCCAATTTTCACTAACTAAGCGACATTTGATCCCAAAAAATTTAAAAAATTTCTAACCGGTGGATCCCTCTTGTAATTATTTTCTTTTTCTTCCTCTCCCCTCGTAGTTGTTTCAGTCGTTTCTTCAGGCTGCACCGAAGTTAAATAATCATCAGTAGGCGGAAGAGGGGGAATTTCTGGTTCAGAAATTGGAGGGGGTTGTATAGGTGGTTGTTCTGGTAATTGTGGTGGTTGTTTATATGTTGTGAGAGGTGGAAATGTTGATGTCTGTTCGTAGTTTCCCTTAAGAAATGAAGGAAGTCTTTGGAATTTAGTAGCAAAATCGGACCCCTTGGGGTTAAAAGTAAAGGAGGTAGAGTTGTTTTTTGTCTCCTATCCAGTGGACAGCGAAATTCAAGGTGACATTCAAATTTCCTACCCTCCTAGGTAGAGAGGGTAGAGAGACCCCTATTAAGTATTGGGAGTGTCTGAGGTTTGAAGCAACAAAGAGACGTATTACCTGCCCAAATCCACCACCATCACTTCCCGAGTACCCCTCTCCTTTTTGTTGTAGAAGCTCTCTATCCCCTTCATTGTTTTTCTGTGCATAAGTACCCCCAGCACCCGAAGACCAAGCAGGTTGTGGACTAATAGAAGGTTGAGGGAGAATATTACATTCATTTGGCGTTGCACTTTGGCATTCTGCTGTAGGGAGAGAGGGCGCAACATAGTTTTGAGGGGGAAGGGGAGGGATTGGATTGTATGGTTGAAGGGTTTGTTGGGGTGGTTGTTGTGGTTGTTGTTGGGGTGGTTGTTGGGGTGGTTGAACTTGAGGGGGAGAACAATCAGTGGAACACCCACTTGTTGGTTGTTGTTGTTGCCCTATATTATTATTGTTGCTGCTATAACTCCCTCCTCCAGAACTGCTTTTTGGATAACTATTAGATTGTGGTGGTTGTTGAGGTAAACAATTAATTGGTGTGTTACCGCAACCTCCTCCTGATTTTTTAAAAATATTTGGGTTGAATAGGTTAGTTTTACCTGTAGTTGTGTCTTTAGAGCATTCGATGGTTATTCGACCAGAACTGGGCGCTGATGGGTACGTTTGGTGGCTTCCTCCTCCACACCCCGAAGAGCTTCCTCCTCCACATCCTCCAGAACTACCACGACTTGCATAACCTGTAGGACCTGTCCCGCAACCTCCTGTACTTCCACCACAATTTGAGGAGCCTCCTGAGCAACCTGAAGATCCAGAACATCCCGAACTTGATCCTGAACTTGCTCCACAGCCTGAAGAACCTCCACAACCATTATCACAGTTTATTACCACGCATCCCCCAGAACTTCCTCCTCCACCACAGCCTCCAGCTCCTGCTGCTCCTCCACACCCTCCACTACAACCTCCAGTTCCTCCATAGCCTCCACAACCCCCACCTCCTCCACCACACCCTCCAGATGCCCCTCCACAACTTCCCCCTCCACCACAATTTTGAGAAGAAATGGGAGGAGGAGGAGGACATACAACTGTTGGGCATGAACAACCTCCTTAAAAACGAATTTTTGGGGGTTGAAAATTTCCAAAAAAACCCAACCACTCATACTGTAAAAGAAAGCCTGGGAGAAGGATAAGGAAATAAATAAAAAATAAAGCTGATAGGATAAATTGAAAAAATATTTTAATCGAATAAATAGAGGCATCTCAAAAAATAATTTAAGCAACGTTGAGTGGACGACTCCCTTCCGTTGGAATTTTACAATTTTTTGAAAAATTAATTTTTAAAAAGCCGAAGAGAGAAAATACTTGAAGTCTTCCCTCCCTATAAAAGCTAAAAAAGAAAGAAAAACTTTTTCAAGTTTTAAAGTTTATTTAGATTTTTAAAAAAGAGAAATTGGGTTATTACATGAAAGAAAAATATTTTTATAGCGCTCGTTTCTAATTATTTTTTGTTTGATTGAGAAATGTTCGAATGTTTTCTTTTTAGCTTTTTAATTGTAACAAGGGTTTCCTTTTTTTAAAATAACAAATTTAAATTTGGGGGAGAATAAATCTACAAATAAGGGGTTAAATTTACTGTATTTGGCGTACTGTATTTTTTCTATAAATATTCTAGTTGTCTGTCCTTTATAGAATGAAAAGAAAGCCTCTCTTTCGCTTACGACCATACCGCGTTGAAAGCACGCCATCCCGTCCGATCTGGCAAGTTAAGCAACGCTGGGCCTCCTTAGTACTTGGAACGGAGACGTCCTGGGAATCGGGGGTGTCGTAAGCTTTTTTTGAAAAAATTTTTTTGGTAAAAATTAAAAATTCTTTCGAAAAATTTTGTCAGAAATTTTTTAAATTTAACCCGTAAATTTTAAAGTTAGAGTAAAAAATGACAAATTTATTGTTGAAATTGGCGAAGTAGTTTTTGACGAAATGAAAATATGTTAATAGAAATAAGCAAAATGAAAATGAAAATAGTACAGAGAGAATACGAGAGGAGAAAAAAAGAAAATTTCCTTTCTGGTTAGATTTCTTTTTACAAAATTTGTCAAAACACACTTTGCCAATATGGGTAAAAATTTACATTTTGTCTACAAGCTTGTGTGGCAAAGTGTGAAATTTTACTCTTATTGGCAAAATGTCGAGGAGGCAAAATGTCTGTGCGTCTTAGATTTTCTATCTTTTCGCTGAATTTTTCTTAATTTTTTTTTTTCAATTTTTTTTAAATTTTCTAGAAATTTTTTCTATTTTCAAATATTTTATAATTAAATATTAAAAAATGACTGATCGACAACAACAAATAGACGGTATTCTATTATCCTTAGCAACATCATTTGAAGGAGGGGTGCCTGAACTGTTCGACCATGTCTTCTCTTTTCTCTCACGAAAAACTGATTTCTACACGGGGGCAGCAACTTCCACAACGGCCAAGAAAATTGTTTTGGATGCTTTTGAAAAATACGAGAAAACTTGCCAAGCCGAAGCTTTGGAAAAATTGAAGCGGAAAGAGGCGGAAGAGAAAAAATTGGCTGAAAGACGTGCGGCTCAAAAAGCTAAGGAAGAGGCGGAATTTACTGAGACTAGCCGAATTAAGGAATTGACTGATGAAGAGGCTGAAGAACTTCAGAAAAAATTGGATGCTGAAAAGGCTAAAGAGGTTTGGATTTTTTGGGAGCGGGTTTGGGTTACACTTCCTCAAATGTTCCTACCCTCTTTCCTTCATTTTTTATCTGGCTCCTTTTGAGGGTACGACCCTTTATGGCACAGGTCCTTACTTGCCCCCCCCTTCCGGAAAAAATCCTGGTTACGGGCCTGACACAGGAACGCGAACCTCTGTACCAAAAAAGGGTATGATGTTCCAATAATGGGACTCTTTTATCTGATTATTGACTTATTCGCTCACGCCCTAATTTTCACGCCAAAGCACCATGTCTCTGGTCATTCTTTCTCCCTCCTTTAATTTCACTCAATTCCCCTAATTCTTTATTTAATAATTAAATGTCATAGGTGAATAGGAGACTGCCTATTCCTTTCTTTCAACTTTTTTGTTCTTCCGTCCCCAAAATTTTTAACGATTAATTTCGCCTTGTTATCCTTATTCATTTTTTTATTTTTAAATTTTGCCCTGTCGCGATCAGAAAAAAGGCAATTATTTTAAATTAGCCCTTTCTCTGAGAAGATTGCCTTTTAGGCAATAAAATTTGAATTATTTAACCTTTTTAACTCCTCGCTAATCCTTTTTTGTTTGTATATAAATATTTCTTCATTTTCTAAAATTCATTTCATTTTTTAGAAAGCCACAGAAATGCTTGAAATTAATTTGAAAAATAATTCTGAAGAAAATGGACAAAATAAAGACGAGGAGAAATCTGACAAAATCAAGCCAAATTTGGGGAATGGATGTGATTTGGAAAATTACCAATGGACTCAGACACTTGGAGAGTTGGAAATTCGTGTTGTTTTTAAAGGCATTGGATTTCCTCTGAAAGTTGGTTTTTGTTTAAATTTTTTTATTTTGTTTTTTGGTCCTCACTATAAGATAGCCAACTTTTTTTAATTTTCAAAAATTTAAAAAATTTTTTAATTTTTTACTAGCGGACAAAATTGGCAAAAATTGCAATTTTCAAATCCGCAAAGTAAGTCCGCAAATTGAATTTGCAAATAAGATCTGTATTTCATCAAAATTCCGTCTTGTTACTGCTCTCCCGACAGTCTTGCCCGTATAACCAAAATAGGTACTTATAGGGTTTGGGTCCGCTGGAAAAAAATAATTCTATCTTTTCCTTATTTTTATGAAATGGTCAACTTTCTCCTTCCTCAATTTTATTCATTTTCCCTGTGACATATTCAAATGATAAACATCAATAAAGAAAAGATTACTAAAATGCCAAAAATGAAAATGTCGATCCTAATGTTTGATGATATTGGAGAAAAATTATTGTTCCTTTATTAATGTCTATAATTTGAATATGCTACAAGGAAATAGAAAGAAATTGAGGAAGGAGAAAGTTGACCATTTCATACAAATTAAGGAAAAATAGAATTATTTTTTTCCAGCGGACCCAAACCCTATAAGTACCCCAAAATATTTGTCGGCTTGTGTATAAGTCGTCCGCAAATATTTGTCCGCAAAAACTGTCGGATAATCAATAGTTAACAAAATTTTTTTTATTTTTTAAAGGCAAAAGACGTTGTTGTTGATGTTGGGCGTAAACATTTCAAAATTGGACTTAAAGGAAAACAGCCATTAGTGGATGGTGAATTGGCTGAAGAAATTAAACTTGAATCGCTCAACTGGATTATTGAAGACAAGAAAAATATTGTTTTGAATGTTGATAAGGTTTGAATTGATTTTTTTGAATGATTTTTGGGGTCCCTTCTCAAAAGTATATTAATGAAGTTTTTAAGCCTTAGTCCTTTTTGAGAAAATGCAGGTCTGCAAGAAGCAGGTTTGCAACACTGCAAAGGGCGTAGCCCGCGGGTCGATTTCAGTTAGGACTAAATTAGGTGTCCAAAAAATTTTCTGTGTTCTCGTAGCAATTTATTATCGTTTCTTATTGTTAGTTACATAAATGGACGTTTCGATTTATTTCGAGAGATTTTTTGTTTGCTTACTTGCGGACAATTTTTGCGGACATTTTCTCAAAATTATATTTATTTTAAAAATTTTAATTAAAAAAATTTTTTTGTAATTTAAGGTAAATGGTATGCATTGGTGGAACAAGCTTTTGCTTACTGACCCTGAAATTGATACTCAAAAAGTGCAGCCAGAAAATTCGAAACTTTCGGTTTGTTTGATTTTTAATAAAAAATGAATTAAATTGTTGGGGGTTGACAGTCATTTGTGAATTTTTTTGCCTCCTTTTTTTATTTCTCTACCTTATTTGTTGGGACATAAAAAGGATTATTCAGTGACTCATTTTTGTTAATTTTTATACTTTTCTAAATTCAAAAAAATTTTTGTTTCTAAAGGATTTGGATGGCGAAACTCGTTCAATGGTTGAAAAAATGATGTATGATCAACGTCAAAAAGAACTTGGATTACCAACTTCTGAGGAAAAGAAGAAGCATGAAATTCTTAAAAAGTGAGGTTTTTTCTTTTGAAAAAAAATTTTATATCATTAAAAAAAAATTTTTTTTGGAAAAGGTTTTCGTTAAAGTCGAATAATTTTAAAAATTGTGACTGAATTTTTTTGAAAATTTTTGGATTTTTTTTCGGTTATTTTTTTTTGCTTCGGCAAAAGCCGGATTTTACCTTATCCCCCAAAGCATTAACTAGTTGTTCTCTCTAAAAGGTCGGCTTTTTGTGCTTTTTTATAATTTTTTTGAGAGAAAATATAGATGGGGGGGGGGGGGGGGTTCTTCCCATTTGTGTCATAATTAAATAAATTAAATATTAGCTTTTATTTAATAATTAAAAAAAAATTTGGAACTTATATACTTTAGGTACGCTTTTTTTAACAACGCCCTTTTTCTTTTTTTTCATCAATCAACCATAATTTTTACGGAATGGTCAGCCTTTCTTTCTCCCTTTTCTCCTTTTCCATTCAGCTCAAAAATTTTATTTTCAAAATTTATTTATGATATATAGGTAATTTAAAGTAAATCTGTCTAAGATGCACAAAAAGGTCAGTGAATAAATAGTTCGAGCTCATCGAGCTATGTCGAATGTACCAGAATCGTCCGTAATATCTCTGAGCTGATACTGGGGTTCTAACTTGTCCAAACTGTGGTGTGTTAATTAATAATTCTGGTGAAATTGGAAAGAAAAATTAATCTTCTCTTCATTCATTTCTCTTATTGAACATGCCACAGGGAAAATTAAGTGAAATCAAGGGAGAAAGAAAGGCTGACCATTCCGTAAAAATTATGGTTGATTGATGAAAAAAGGAAAAAGGGTGTTGTTAAAAAAAGCGTACCTAAAGTATATAAGTTCCAAAAAATTTTTTTTTTTCTTAGATTTATGGATCAACATCCAGAAATGGACTTTTCAAATGCAAAGTTTACTTAAAATTGAACTAAGGGGGAGAGAGAAAATTTAAGTTTAATAAAAAAAATTTTTTTGAAATTATTTGAATAATTTTCGGCTCTCTCAATTATATTTATTCGGTTTTTTTTTTTAATTAAAAATGGGATTGAACTTTTTGGAAAATTTTTTGGATTTGTGAATTTTTTTAGAAAAATTTTTTCTAAAATTTTTTTAGAATTTTTGAGAAAAAAATTAATTTTTAATTTTTTTAAATGTTTGATTTTTGTTTTCAGTTTAATCCCTATTTAAAAAATATTTTATTTTTTTTTTTATTTTTTTTCAGTCAGTTTTTAACTGATTTATTTTTCAAGTCTTTAAAATTAATAAAAAAAATTTTTTTTTTGAATTCCCCTAGTTAACAACTTAAATTAATCAACAAAAAAAAACTACAAAAATTTAAAAAAAAAACTTCAAAAAGAAATTTTTTTGAGGCCTAAAATTGATTTCCTTTTTACCTTCCAAATAATGGAAAAAATTATTTCTTGCCCTACATTGTCCCCTAACAACTCAGCAACAAAAATAAATCCGCCTCAGCTTGTAATAGTAGACCAAGACTATTTGGACCAACTGTCCGATCAATTAAAATTGTTAAAAATTGATGATTTTACAATCAACAAAATTTTGAAAAAATTCAAACCTATCAAAAAAGAAGTGAAATTTGAGGTGAAAAATAAATGAATTTTTGTTTTATTTGTCCACTTTACTCCTGATTTCCTTTTTCTCCTGAAGGAATCCCCTTTTTTTCCTATTTTTTAAAATTAAATTTTTCCCCCTTTAAAAAATTTTCTTAAAAATAATTATAATATTTTTTGGGTATTTTCTATTTTTTTAATCGGATTTTAAATTAAAGACAAAAAAAATTTACAGCTTGGCTAAACACAGGAAAATATCGTTGTTTAGCAGAGCTGTAAAAAAAATTTTTTTTTCCTCTTTTAAAAATTTTTTCTAGCCACAGGAATGTCATCAAGTATTCGATCCTCAACAACAACAAAAACAACAACCCTTTGTTGGTTATGATGGATTGCTTGAATTTGCAATTTCTCAAGTCAAAAATTGTGGATATGGGCATGTTCTTCCTCCCCTTGCCTTACTAGGAAACAAAAAGTTAGAAAATTGAAAAAAATTGATTTAAAAAAAATCTGAAAAAAAAAATAAAAATTGTAAAAAAAAAGAAAAAAGAAAAGAAAAAAATTAAAAAAATTTTTGTGTTTCGGATTCATGGCCGTTTAAGGAGGAAATTATTTTCGGGTTTTAGTTGAGTAGAGAAAAAATCAACAACGGTCATGATAATTATATTACCTATTTACTATATTTATTAAAAATTTTTTAATGTTTAGAAAAAATTTTTTATATGTCTTAAAATCTCATTTTTATTTTTTAAAATCTATTTCATAATTTTTATAAAACAATTTTAGAGGTTTGGAAACGATAACAGCAAATAATTTAATTATTAACTTAAAATCAAGGACTAATAAAAATGTTAGTTTTTCTTTTTAATTTAAAAAATATTCAAAGATTTTATTTTCTAATCCAAAAATAAAAATTAGTTTGTATTAAATAGGGTTAGTCCCCGACGCGGGGGGGGTCTCTAGTTACGGGTTACGAAAAATAAAATTCCCTTAAAACCCTATTTTTAGTATTATCGTCCAAATATTTTGCTTTTTTCCTGTTATCTTTACCACATTTTTGCGTATTGTTTTATGTGCAGCTTGGTTAAAGGTGGCTCGGATTTCCGATTTCCGGCGTTTTTTTTTTCCTAACGATTTCCGGAAAAAATTTTTGATTTCCGAGTTCCGACTTTTGAGCAATTTCCAACTTTCGGCTTTTCCGATTTCCGACAACTCTGACTGTTCCGACACACACCTCTGTTTCAAGTCCACTCTATTTTTCTGCAGAAAACAGGGTTTCTGGAGATAAAACAGTGCGAAAAGGGGGTAGGAATAACGTACAAGTAACTCCACAATATTTTTTTTGTAGCTAAATAAAATGAATAACGAAGAATTAAAAGTAAAAATGTTGATAGAAAAATACAAAAGCGACAATAAAAAATTTCTTTTTCTGAGCTCATTAACAAGAAAAAACATAATTAATGAAGATAATGCGTTGGATATAATACGTGAAGCATTTGCTGATAAAACAGATTACAGTGGGGTTTTTAATGGTAGAATTTATTAAAAATTTGATTATTATACTCCGACTAGGACGACCAATATGTCATTTAAAAGTAGTGGTCGGTAAAATTGTGTTTGATGGATCCCGCATGCGGTATTTTTTTAAAATCTTTGCGGATCTCCTGAAGGAATCCACTTTTTTCCTAATTTTTAAAAATTTAATTTTCCCCTTTTAAAAAATTTTTTTAAAAATAATTATAATATTTTTTGGGTATTGTCTATTTTTTTTAAATCGGATTTTAAATTAAGGACAAAAAAATTTACAGCTTGGCTAAACACAGGAAAATATCATTGTTTAGCAGAGCTGTAAAAAATTGTCAGTCACTTCCCGCGCCGACCTCTATTTGAAAGAGCTTGTCTGAGTCGGATGTCATGAAAATCAAATGATTCGATGATTTGAATTTTCATTAGCTTTTTTTTTGAATTTTCACCGTAAAAAGCAGCTATTGGTTTTCGATATTCGAGGACCTACATATATTTCTTAACTTGAATTTTGTTGCCATTGGACTCAGCTCGGGCATCTATTTAAAATGACATATTGTTCAGATCGGAGTATGGAGATCGGAGTCTAGTTAAAAAAAAATTTTTTTTTTAATCGGTAAATTTTGTAATCTTATCTAGATTTGGTTAATAATGATCGGCATGCAAGACGACATGCACCTTATCATTTACCACGACGTCGTGGGTCTACTATTAATTTATCTGATGAAAATGAGGAGCCAAATAATGATATTGGGTGTGTTTTTTACATTATTTTAGAAAAAAATAAGTTGATGAAAAGGGTTACTGGGAAAATCTGTATTCCTATTTATAAATTGGCATTAGTGCTGAATTCCTTTCTCGATTCATAGGTTCATTTTAGGGTTATAACTAAGCTCACAAAAAAGTTTTTTGGAAAATTTTGGAAATTTGTAGGATCGAATCCAGATATCCGGAAATTCCTTTGATCCCTTTATATCCACAAATTCTTTTATTGTGTTAAAAAACACTCCCAGCCAGGTCTAATAACAATATTATATCGTTTTCGATATCAATATACATTAAATGCTCTAATTAAAGCCATGGACGTCTATTTTGGTCAATTAGGATTAGGGAATGGGCGCGTTTATTTTTCGATAGCTTGTATAATATAATATAAGGGCTTCTAATAGAGCCGGGCTTTAATTAGACTACCAATTTGTATTCATTAGTAAAATAAAAAAAATATGTTAGGGGATTGTATTACTTTTTTAAAAAATTTTTTTTTTTTTAATTTTAGTTAATTTTTCAAAAATTGGTGGATAATTTATTGGTTTGTATATTTTTTGGATGCTTTGTTGGTGGTTTTTTTTTTGTTGCTATGTTGTTGTATAACTAAAAAAAATAATTGAGAATTTAATTTTTTAAAAATATTTTTAATTTACTAACATGTATATATTTTTGGCTCTCCTATAGTTTAAGGTCCGCAATTCTCTGACCGTTTTATAATTTCCTCCAAATTTTGCCCTCTATGCTAGTGTTTCACTGTTACCGAAATTTTGACGGAACCTAAACCGGATCCAATTTTTCCGGAAAAAACCGGAATTTTCCGGAACTGGAACCTCCAGTGAAGCAACTTTATGCGAAGCCAACCAAAATTTTTTGTTTCTTTTTTACTAATTTTTTACCATAAACACTCGCTGTTATAAGCATAAATGACTAAAAATGTGGTTAAAGAACGGCGGCCCCTTTAAACTGTAGGAGTTCCGTATGTTTTTAAAGATTCTCTTCTTAAATTTTTTGCGGATTTATTTTAAAATGATCCGGACATTTGGGGGGGGGGGGGGGGGGGTGAGTGAACAATTGGGGATAGTGAACAATTAAGGGAGCGGACATTTAATAAAAAAAATAAAAAAATAATTTGTACGCCCGTGAAGGTGTTTTTTGCGGAGTTTAAAATTCGATGTTTCTAACATTGATCAGCGGTTAAGGCCCTTTGAGAAATCACGGTTGGGTAACGAACATTTTATTAATGCTACCATTTTCCGGGAAATTGGGGGGGGGGGGGAATCCTGTTCACTTTCCAAATGTCCGGAAACGATTATAAATTTCATTAATTAAAAATCAGACTAGGACATTGATACTGATTTTGGTATCCGTATATTTACGGCGGATACAGGCGGATATCCGCAAGCATTTTTACAATATTTATATCAATATCCATCAGAGATGTTTCGAAATTTCGATATTTTTGTATTTCTTTCGATTTCCGATTCTTGCTGATTTTTTTTTGTTTCGAAACATCTCTGGTATCCATGTCCTATTTTTTAAAAATATACTAATTTTATTAAATATAAATTTTTAATTCTCCAATATTTTGTTTTAATGTTTTTTCAACACCGTTTTTAACTGACTTATTTTCCGGGTACAGCCCAAGTAGGCGCGCGGCCAAGTAGGCGCAAAGCCATAACTTGCTTCAAGATCTTCGAATCTTTCAAAATTTAGCATTAAACGATTCCTCTCATTGAGCTAAAGAGATTGGTACCAAAATTGTTAAGGTCCAGAAATTTTCCAGGTATTTATGGCTTTGCGCCTACCTGGCCGCGCGCCTACTTGGGCGTGTCCCTTATTTTCCAACCTTTTAAAAAATTTTTTTATTTTCACATTAAAAGCAACACAAAAAATGTTAACTCCATTTTTCCAATTGGAACAAAACGACATTTTTTTGTTTGTTAAAGTTTTAGCTCCTTACTGCAAAATTGTGGATGCTGAAGTAATTTATGGGGACAGAGAATTTGTTTTTAATGCTTCTCCCTATTTTTTGCGGCTATTTTTGACTGGAGATGTTGTTGATGATGAGACGGGGACTGTAGAATATAACAGTGAAAAGGGTGGGGAATTCTTGAAATTAATTGGAAAAATAATTAGAATGGACCCCACTGTAAGGGGCTGGTTGAATCTAGCCTTATAATGAGGTGTCTCGTAAATAGAAGGGCAATAGTTCAGACAACTCCCCCACAATCAAGTGGCCGACCAAAATTGAGAACGACGTCTAATTGATAGGGCTGTTCCCTGACAGGGGGGAGGGCATCGCGGATAACTTTTCGGGGAGGCAACGCCACGGGGGGGGGGGGGGGGAGGGTGTTCAGACAACTCCCTACAATCAAGTGGCCAACCAAAATTAAAAACATATGAGGAGTGTCTGATTTTGGGGAACGTATGAGGTGTCTGACCAGCTATTAACAAATATTTTTTAGGAGAATTCACCATTTGTATGCCAAAAAAATCCAAAGGAGAATTTTTCCCTCGATTGGAAATGTTGAGCGAATTAATTAAACCACAACAACAATTACCTACTGCAAAATCACCTATTGAAATAATTAACTCGAGAAAAACTGAAACAGATGAAGTTGAGGGTTCTTCACAAAGTTTTGAAGAGGAGGAAGGAGAAGATTCTTTAATTAATGATAGTCGGTTGTTTTATAACAATATTTTTAAGAGAAAACATGTTTCGCAAACATATAACATTGTTTTTGTATTTTTGCTTGTTTATGTGAAACATGTAATTTAGCAAAACATTTTACGGAACATGTTTTTACTATGTTTAACCGGAAAATATTTTACTAAAAACATGTATTCTAAACACAAAAACATGTTTTTCTAAACATAAACATTTTCCGGAACACATTTTAATAATGTATGTACTTTTTACTTTATTCAACCGGAAAATATTTTACTAAAAACATGTATTCTAAACACAAAAACATGTTTTTATAAAAACATGTTTTTCTAAGCACTGAAAACTTGTTTTTCTAAACAAAACATTTTCCGGAAAACATTTTACTAAAACATCATTTTAAACATTTATGTATTTTCCGGAAAATGTTTTTTCAAACAAATGTTTTAACCGGAAAACATTTTACTAAAAATATTCTGAACATTTGTTGCGTTGTTCCTGAAACTGAAACATTCCTATATCTTTATTTTTAAAATTTATTTTTTTATTTCAAGAATCCCTCTTTGCCAAACAAACACTTTATTGTCCTAAAACCATCAATTTACCTGAAAATAATAGTCAACTTGGTTATGGTTTTGGTTGGGTACGTACTGATGTTTTGGGTAAATTCAAAGAAGAAATTGTCGATTTAATTGATTTGGATGATCCGGAAAATGTTTTAATTGAAGAAAGAAGTCAAAAATTGAAACAATTTGATGAAAAACATTTTTCTGAACAATATTATTTGTAAATTTATTTGTTAAAAATTAAAAAAAAATAATTTTTTAAGGGCAGATTTATTCTCTCAAGAACAATACCAACTCGATGCTATGGAATTTTGTTTTGATAAAAATTGTGTGAAATTAACTGAAGAAGATTTTACAGACTTGAAGGATTTGAGAATAAGAAAGTTGGAAAACTTTTCCAAGGAAATTAATGAGAAGGTGGGGGAGTTATGTTTTGAAACATGTTTTGATGTGTTTATTTCGTTAAAAACATGTTTAGATATTCAAAAACACAGTGTTTTTCTAATAATTATTTTCTACAAAAACACAGCTTGTATTTTCCGGAAAATGTTTGTTATTTAATTGTTAACAAACGTGTTTTCCGGAAACATGTGTTTTCCAACATGTTTTTGAAAGGTTTTCTATGTTTTATTCCATAAAAACATGTTTAGAGAACATGTTTTTTCTTTAAAAATTATTTTTAACAAACAAAGTTTCTATTTTCCGGAAAATGTTTTTATTAATTGAACAAACGTGTTTTATTGTAAAAAGAATGTTTTCCTTTGTCTTTTCCTTACAAACATGTTTAAACATGTACAAAACATGTTTTCCGGAAATTTATGTTTGTTGTTCCGGAAAGTAAAATACTGTTTTGTATTTTTCGTAAATCAGTGTTTTTGTTGGTATAATTTTTGTTTTAAACATTATTTTTTAAAAACATGTACCTATTTTCTTTCAGATAGCTCTATCTTTGGTTGACATTGTTTTTGGTTTTGCTTATGATTTTAGAACAACATTGGTTTTTTTAGTAATTTGATAACAAAATTTATTCAAAATTAAAGGGAGAACATTCAGTAGAATCTGGCTGGACAATTTCTAAATTATCCCCTTCATTAACTTTTCTTGTTAAATGGTCAAATATACAAGAAGCAATATCTTCAACTATTAGACATTCTTTAGTGTTACCAATGATTAGAAATTGGGAATTGAGTTTGAAGGTTATGCTGGATGTTGGGACAATTATTGAAAATGGTAATGATTGTTTTTATAAAAACATGGATGTTTAAATCAAAACTTGATTCAATGTTTTAGTAATATGATTTAGATAAACACATGTTTTTCCGGAAAATACAATGTTTTGGGAAATTTTAGTTCTGAACAATTTTAAATGTTTGGGAAAATACAAATAAACATGTTTTGTTCGAATTTATTTGTATTTTTTCTAACATGTTTGTTTTCCGGAAAACATGTGTTTTTCCGGAAAATACATTTGTTTCTGGGAAATTTAAGTTCTTAACTATCCTTAAATGTTTTGGGAAAATACAAATAAACATGTTTTGTTTTAATTCATTTGTTTTTTCAACATGTTTGTTTTACGGAAAACATGTGTTTTTGCAAGTTTTGTTCCTTGTAAATTGTTTCTCAAACAATTTTTAATGTTTTTAATTTTCAAAACATTCTAAATGTTTATGGAAAAATACAAATGAACATGTTTTTATTACAACAAACTTGTTTCACAAACATTTTAATTTTATTTAAACATTTAATAATTTTTTAATTTTTTCTCAGGCCGTTCATCAATTTTACATGTTCTTTTAACATGCAGGCGTATTTTTAATAAAAGTGGTGGTGAATTTCGATATTTATTAAATCAACTTTTTATTGACGATTTATGCCTTTGGATTCAATCAGTTGATGAACAATTAATTTTAAATTTAAATAAAGAATTTAAAAATTCTGTGAATTCTCTGGAAAAATCAAACATTTTGGAATTAGATTTGGAATTTATCGAAGCACAGGCAAAATTAGAAATGTTAAAACCGTTGGATTCTGATGATGATGAATAAAAGAGAATAAAAACAAAATAAAAATACATTTATGAATTAATTATTCTGTGTTTTCCCTATTTTTGTTTTTTCTGAGGAATAAACATTGTTCGGATGAGGATTTAATGTTTTCCGGAAAATATAGATGTTTAGTTAATATGTTTTCCGGAAAGAATGTTTTTAGAAATAAAAACAATGATAAATAAAATAGAGTTTTCCGGAAAGTTTAAGAACGATCTTAAATGTTTTCCGGAAAAATGGAATGTTTTCTGTTTGTTTGTTTTTAATTGTTGATGTTTTAAAACAGATGTTTTGTTTGTTTGTTTTTAATACAAAGAGTTTTTAAAAAAGCTTGTTTTCCTCATAAAAACACTCAATTATATTCCTTGCTCATAGTTTTGGATGTAATACCCATAAATCCCAGAAACGCATATAGTTAAGCCTAAAAATAAAAAATTGGATAGTCTAAATTTTTTAAACTAACTGCGCAAATAAATATTTGATGTATACAATTCATCTCCACTCAAATTCCCAACGACATGATCCTTGATAAACTCTAAAACTTCAACAGCAATCTCTTGTTTTGTGTCAAAGTTATCCTTGACCTAAAAAAATTTTTATAAAAATTTTTTTTGATTTTACGAAATCTATTTTTTTGCGAAATACGAAATTTATTTTTACGAAAATCGAAACTTAGTTTTTACGAAACACGAAATTCGAAATTTCGTTAAAAGAAAAATTTTCCATTCTACATATTAAAATAATTTATATTTCACCTTCAACACCCAAGCATCAAAATCAACCCAGTCCTCATGCTTCCCTCCAGTCGGCCAAGTTTCCAAATCGCTAATCTTCTAAAATCATTTTATTATCTTTTATTGGGTTATTTATTGAGTGTAACCTTATTTATTGCATCACCATGTGAAGGCATGTATTTAACAATCCCCGTAAGTTGTGGGAAGAACGCTAAAACAAATGTTTTTTGATCAGACAATAAAAAAACTAACAGTCGAGGCGGGTGTTGAGACAGACAACACCATTAACATTAACATGATCACCTGGTTTGTCAATTGCTTTAAGATTAACAATCATCCCATTAAATTCTTGAGCAATAGAAGCACGAAGCTAAAAACATTATTTTTTTGATTAATTTTTGGTTAAAAATTTTTTCAAAAAAATTCACATTTACACACTCAAAATCATCTACCTTATTTATATAAATTCTCCATTTTCGTTGAAATTTAATTATTAAAAAATTAAAAAATTTGGATATTGGGGTATTACCCCATTTTAAATTGAAGGGAATGAAACGGATTAATTCGAAAATTAATTCCTTGGGTAAATTTTGGACATTTTTTGTTCCATTTTTCATTTATTCAACGAAAATTAAACAAAAGTTTCAGTTAAAAATTTGTCCAAAACTAAGAGCCAAAACTTCAATGAGAATCAATAGGGGAAGGCTGTGGACGCCAGCCCTTTTCTGCTGTTCAATAAGTTGTTTTATGTACTTATTGCAAAGAAAAGAGCAACAAAAAATGCACTAAACATTTACCTAAATCTAAACAAAACATTACCCACAAACATTTCTCCAAAACATTTTTCCAAACATTCCTACCAACAACAAACAAAACACAAAACATCACAAACCTTTTCTAAAAAACTACGAAATAAACAAAACATCCGAAATATTTTCCCAAAACATTTCTCCAAACATTCCTACCAAAACAAACAAAACATCATCCACAACATTCTCCAAAACATTTCTATAAAAAATCTCAAAACATACAACAAAACACAAAACATTCACAAACATTTCCTAAAAAATCACGAACATTTTCTCACAACATTTTTCAAAACGTTTCCTCTGAAATAAACAAAACAACAAAACATCCACAAACATTTCCCCAAACATTTCATTTAATCGTTGAATAAATGAAAAATACAACAAAACATCAAAATTTATTACCCAAGGAATTAATTTTCGAATTAATCTTTTTTATTCCCTTTAATTCAAAATGGGGCAATACCTTAATATCCAAATTTTTTAATTTTTTAATTATTACATTTCAACGAAAATGGAGAATTTATATAAATAAGGTAGATTTTGAGAGTGTGTAAATGTGAATTTTTTTGAAAAATATTTTTAACCAAAAATTAATAAAAAATAGTGTTTTTAGCTGCGTACTTCTGTTGCTCAAGAGATAAAAGAAATGGTAGTTAATCTCCAATCAATTGACGACCCCGATTCTCATGTTGATGTCATTAGCGTTGCTAGTCTCAACAATCAGCTTGGCTGTTAGATTTTTTTATTTTCTGGTTTTTCATCAAAAAACTGATTTTTAATCAATTTTTTAGTGTTGTTCGGGTTACTTAAAGGAATCGTAAAACACATTCCTTCATATAGTGATGCAGTTAAGGTTAATTATAAAATGTCAAATCAAAAAAAAAATAATAAAATGATTTAAGAAGATTATTTATTCGAAAACTTGGTCTGTTGGTGAAAAGTATAAGGATTTGGACAAAGACAACTTTGACACCAAACAAGAGATTATTGTCCAAGTGTTGGAGTTTATCAAAGATAAAGTTGTTGGGAATTTGGGTAGAGGGGAATTGTGTGCGTTATATGGTTATATAGACTGTTAGTTTAAAAAATAAAATTGAACAATCCAAGTATTTATTTTTAGGCTTATTCCAAGGCGTCTCTGAGATTCTTCTGTACTACAACCGAAAGTGTGCGCAAGGAATGTAATTGAGTGTTTTTATGAGGAAAACAACCTTTTTTAATAACTCTTTGTATTAAAAACAAACAAACAAAACATCTGTTTTTAAAACAACAATTAAAAACAAACAAAAACATTCCATTTTTCCGGAAACATCTAAGATCATTCTCAAACTTTCCGGAAAATCCTATTTTATTTATCATTGTTTTTATTTCTAAAAACATTCTTTCCGGAAAACACATTAAATAAACTTAAACACCTATGTCTTTCCGGAAAACATTTAATTCTCATCCGAACAATGTTTATTCCTTAGAAAAAACAAAAATAGGTTTTCCCGGAAACAAACATGCTGAGAAAAACAAATAAATTAAAACAAAACATGTTTGCTTGTTTTTCCCAAAACATTTAAAATTGTTTTGAACTAAAATGTGTTTTCCTATTTATCAATGTTTTTATTTCTAAAAACATTCTTTCCGGAAAACATATTAAATAGACTTAAACACCTTTTTTCCGGAAAACATTTAATTCTATCCGAACAATGTTTCTTCCTTAAAAAAACAAAAATAGGGAAAACACAAAATAATTAATTCATAAATGTATTTTTATTGTTTTTACTCTGTTTTATTCATCATCTTCAGAATCCAACGGTTTTAACATTTCCAATTTTGCCTGAGCTTCAATAAATTCCAAATCTAATTCCAAAATGTTTGATTTTTCCAGAGACTTGACAGAATTTTTAAATTCTTTATTTAAATTTAAAATTAATTCTTCATCAACTGATTGAATCCAAAGACAAAAATCGTCAATAAAAAGTTGATTTAATAAATATCGAAATTCACCACCACTTTTATTAAAAATACGCCTGCATGTTAAAAGAACATGTAAAATAGATGAACGGCCTGAAAAAAAATTTAAAAAAACATTATAAAATAAAATTAAAATGTTTGGGAAACAAAGTTTGTTGTAATAAAAACACAAGTTCATTTGTATTTTTCCATAAACATTTAGAATGTTTTGAAAATTAAAAACATTAAGAATTGTTTGAGAAACAATTTACAAGGAACAAAACTTGCAAAAACACATGTTTTCCGTCAAACAAACATGTTGAGAAAAAAATACAAATAAATTCAAACAAAACATGTTTTTGCAAAACTTGCAAAAACACATGTTTTCCGTCAAACAAACATGTTGAGAAAAAAATACAAATAAATTCAAACAAAACATGTTTTTGCAAAACTTGCAAAAACACATGTTTTCCGTCAAACAAACATGTTGAGAAAAAAATACAAATAAATTCAAACAAAACATGTTTTTGCAAAACTTGCAAAAACACATGTTTTCCGTCAAACAAACATGTTGAGAAAAAAATACAAATAAATTCAAACAAAACATGTTTTTGCAAAACTTGCAAAAACACATGTTTTCCGTCAAACAAACATGTTGAGAAAAAAATACAAATAAATTCAAACAAAACATGTTTTTGCAAAACTTGCAAAAACACATGTTTTCCGTCAAACAAACATGTTGAGAAAAAAATACAAATAAATTCAAACAAAACATGTTTTTGCAAAACTTGCAAAAACACATGTTTTCCGTCAAACAAACATGTTAAGAAAAAAATACAAATAAATTCAAACAAAACATGTTTATTTGTATTTTCCCAAAACATTTAAGGATAGTTAAGAACTTAAATTTCCCAGAAACAAATGTATTTTCCGGAAAAACACATGTTTTCCGGAAGAAAGGTGTTTAAGTCGATTTAAAATGTTTTCCGGAAAGAATGTTTTTAGAAATTAAAACAATGATAAATAAAATAGAGTTTTCCGGAAAGTTTTAGAACGATCTTAAATGTTTTCCGGAAAATAGAGATGTTTAGTTAATATGTTTTCCGGAAAGAATTAAATAAAGTAAAGTTTTCCGGAAGATTAAGAACGATCTTAAATGTTTTCCGGAAAATAGAGATGTTTAGTTAATATGTTTTCCGGAAAGAATTAAATAAAGTAAAGTTTTCCGGAAGATTAAGAACGATCTTAAATGTTTTCCGGAAAATAGAGATGTTTAGTTAATATGTTTTCCGGAAAGAATTAAATAAAGTAAAGTTTTCCGGAAGATTAAGAACGATCTTAAATGTTTTCCGGAAAATAGAGATGTTTAGTTAATATGTTTTCCGGAAAGAATTAAATAAAGTAAAGTTTTCCGGAAGATTAAGAACGATCTTAAATGTTTTCCGGAAAAACGGGATGTTTTTGTTTGTTTTTAATACAAATATGTTTTTAAAAATGTTTTGTTTGTTTGATCAAGTTATAATCAATTTAACTCATTAGGGAAATGGTTTTCTTTGTAATAAAATTTGAATATGCATACACTATGTTTTTTAAAGTCTTTTCTCTCACAAAAATATAAATAACACATGGGTTTAAAGTTCAAAAGAGCAAAAAGGTCGGAAAAAATTAGTATATAATGAAAGGAACGAGCATATTTTTATTCATTTTCTCTTCTAACCAAAATTTATTTAAAAAATTAAGTACCTCTCCTATTTTATGTAAACAATTTTGACTTGTTTTATTTAAATTAGTAGATGTTACTGATGTTTTTAATGTTTTGTTCGATATTTTAAAATGTTTTTTGTTTCTATAAACATTTCTTATCCTAAAATTCCTTAGTTAATGATTTTTCTTTGGTCATTTCTCATCAATTATTTTTTTAAATCTAAAAATTATCAAAAAATATATTCTAATAGCCCTATTTCTCTTATAATCCCTCTGTTCTTTCATATTTTTGTTAAGCCTCCATTATGTTTTTTACCCTAATTTAATGAAAATTTTTTAATCAATTTATCTTCATACAGACGTTTTTATAAGTATTTTTCGAATTTATTCAATCTTTATTGACCTGTTATGGACCTTGAAACGACGGTATGTTTAAAAAATAAAAGCTCTAGCTAAAAATATGGTCTATTTGTTTGTGTATGGGAATATTTTTGATGTTTGGAATGTTTTGATTATATGTTTATGTGAATGTTTGTGGACATGTTTTTTTAAATTTTTGTTTGTTTTGGTAGGAATGTTTGGGAGAATGTTTGGATGATGTTTTGTTTGTTTCAGAGGAAATGTTGTGGTAAAAATGTTTTGGGAAAACATTTCGGATGTTTTGTTTATTTCGTGGTTTTTTAGGAAATGTTTGTGGATGTTTTATGTTTTGTTTGTTTTGATGATTTTTATATAGATGTTTTGGAAAAATGTTTGTGGGTGATGTTTTGTTTAGATTTATGTAAATGTTTTGTGTATTTTTTGTTGCTCTTTTCTTTGGAATAAGTAAAACAACTTATTGAACAGCAAGAAAAGGTGGCTGGCGTCCTTGTACGCACACATCTCCTTCCCTCGTTTAGTTGCTTATGTTTAACCCTGTCTCTGGACAAATTTTTAACTGAAACTTTTGTTTAATTTTCGTTGAATAAATGAAAAATGAAACAAAAAATGTCCAAAATTTACCCAAAGAATTAATTTTCGAATTAATCCGTTTCATTCCCTTTAATTCAAAATGGGATAATACCCTAATATCCAAATTTTTTAATTTTTTAATTATCAAATTTCAACGAAAATGGAGAATTTATATAAATAAGGTATATGATTTTGAGAGTGTGTAAATGTGGATTTCTTGAAAAATTTAAAAAAAAAATTTTTTAACCAAAAATTAATAGAAAAAAATGTTTTTTAGCTGCGTACTTCGGTTGCTCAAGAATTTAATGGGATGATTGTTAATCTTAAAGAAATTGAAAACCCTGGTTCTCATGTTGGTGTTAATGAGGTTGATAATCTCAACGGCCAACTTGGCGGTTAGTTTTTTTTTTAAATTTTTTGATTTTAAATAAAAAATCATGTATTTTTTTAGTGGTTTTCGGTCAACTTAACATAATCGAGAAACTCATTCCTTCTCATAGTGCTGCAATTAAGGTTAATTATAAAATGTCAATTCAAAAATAATAATAAAATGATTTAAGTCTTTTATCGATTTGAAAACTTGGTCTGCTGGAGGGACGCATGTGGGCGACTTTGATACGAAGCAGAAGAAGGTTATCGAGGTGTTGGAGTTTATCAAGAATAAAGTTGTTGGGAATTTGGGTGAAGCGGAATTGAATGCGTTAAATGGTTATATAATCTGTTAGTTAAAAAATAAGATTTAAAAATCCCCAAGTATTTATTTTTAGGCTTAGCTCAAGGCGTCTCTGAGATTCTTGAGTACTACAACCGAAAGTGTGCGCAAGATTGATGAGGTTTTTATGAGGAAAACAAGCTTTCTGGAAGATGAGATGAGAGTCTGGTTTCTTTTCGTATTTGAATTGACTCTTGGTAATATACACTTTCTCAAGTCTATATTCCTTTAAAATTTTTTGTTAAACTTCTCAAGGCTCTAATTGAGAGCTGGATTCTATATTTGTATTTTGTAAATCCACTTTATTTGGCATTTTGTATTTTTTCCACTTTGACATTAAATCCTTCAAAATCCTTTCATATTGTCTTTTTCGATTTACTAATTTCAAAAAACAAACCTAAATTTCCAAACCTAAAAATTATTTTCCTTAACTCAATCAAAAGGTGGGCCCGGAAAAATCGATTTTTCCGGTCACTACTAAAAATCCTATAAAAACACACCCTTTGAATATATACAAAATCTGCTAAAAATAAAGTGAGATTTCTTTCATAATGTTTGGTAGCCTTTCTTTCTAAGCTTCTTGTAAATCTAAATATTGCCAAAAAAAAAGGCGAAAACCAATTTACTTTTACTCGCCTTATCAAATCTTCCCTATCCTATTCGGTGAGACGCGTGCTGCAAACCCTCGTATTTGTCGCGGGGTTTGCGGCGCGTGTACTTGGTAACATAAACCTCTACCCTTTTTTGGCATTTATTTCGATTTGGCAAGACATGCGGAAACACTCTTCTCAGTTGTTTTTTAAAGCTTGTTGGCGTTATTTTGGTCGATAAATATTTCAAAAAACTGATTTTTAATGGCGATTTTGTTTTCAACTTTAAAATTATTTTTTCTCTTTCTTATCATTTTTAACGTTTATAGGTCTACAAATTTAATTTATTAGCTTAAAAACAAAAGAAAAGTCAAAAGAAAAATGGCTCGTCGTGGAAATAACATGGTTTCTTTTTTAGACAATTTACCTTAAAATTCCCCCTCGTTTTCTAGTTACCAAACGCCCATTACCACAAACATTGGCAACGTCGAATCAAAACTTGGTTTAATCAACCGGCAAGAAAGCAACGTCGTCGTTTGGCAAGAATTGCAAAAGCTGCCCGTGTTGCTCCTCGCCCAGTTGGGGGTCTTCTTCGTCCAATCGTTCATTGCCCAACTATTCGTTATAATAGCAAGCTTCGATTGGGACGTGGATTTACTTTGGAGGAATTGAAGGCTGCTGGGTTTAGTAAATATGAGGCAAAGTCTTTGGGAATTGCTGTTGATTATAGACGTACAAATCGTTCTGTCGAGTCTATCGAGGTTTTTTTTGTTTTTATAAGGGTCATGAGTTTGTCATGGGTATACTTACTGGTATTTTGATGCCCTCATTCCGGCTTGCTGGCTTGGGCTGGAAGCTGTGATATCGGAAATTAACCTTGTTTTTTAAATAAGGATCATGAGTTTAACATGGGTGCCCTTGTATTTTGATGCTTTATACATTTTAGCTTCCCGGCTTGGGATGGATGCCGTGATTTCTAAAATTGACTTAAATTGACCTCGTCATACTCTTAGGTGACGTGTCATGTATAAATCTGTAGTCAAGAATCTGAAGTGTTTCTGAATGCTAGAACGGCCTCAGATCTCTTAACAAAGTTTTTATATGGCACGTCAACTTTGAGATATGATGAGAGGTAAGATTAGGTCTTTGTCCACACTAGAATTGGCGAATCCGGTTAGTTGGGGTTTGCCTCAGATCCGCCAACCCTTTCCATGTTATAGAATTCTCATGGTTTTTGAACCCTGTGTCTTACAAATTAATTTTTATTTTTTTCAGAGAAACGCCAAGCGTTTGAAAGAATATCGTTCTCGTTTGATTATCTTCCCGAAGAAGTTGAGCAATCCAGAGAAGGGAGATAGCAGTGTATATATTTTTTGAATTTTTGTGGGGTCCGAGCGTGAATCTAATAAACGTGGATTTAAAGGGAATAGAGTTTTCGAGTTTTCTGGGAAATGAATTATCTAATTTTTAAACTAGTTTTGTTAGAGACTGGATATTGGGCGGCTTAAATGTCCTTGGAATTCTACATTTGAGCCACCACAGTCGAAAATTAACGGATCACCAACAATCCTACCTTAGAGTTTCCTGGGAAATTAGAAGTCATCTAAAGCTGTTCTTTGATTCCTTTTTCCAGTCCCATAAGCACACAATGGCATCTTCTACTAGGATCTAAGTTTTCAACATTTTTCAGCCTGAAGAACTCAAAATGGCAAGCCAAGTTACTGGAAAAGTTGTTATGCCACATAAAGAACAGAAGCGTCGTTTGAAAGCACAGCCAATAACTGAAGAAATGAAAAACTTCAAAGTTTATTGCCATTTGCGTCGTGTACGTGCTGATGCTCGAATGAAGGGAAAGCGTGACAAGAAGGCAAAAGAAGCTGCCGATGAAGGACTTGGAAAGGGTGGACGTTAATCAAGTTGTTTTGAGGTTTTTGAGAGGTTTTTGAGGAGATTTATAGTTTGTGGGTGATCAGGAAAGAAGAGGGGGAAGGGTGGATGTAAAGGGAGGAGGGAAGAAATGTTATTTTTTTGAGGTCCTGATACGAGTTGATATACATTTCAGTTTGTCCGCAAGTTTTGTCCGCAAATATTCTTTTCTGAAAATCTTCCCCCTCCTTCCTCTTTTAGCCTCACCTTCCTTCTCTTTTATTGACTTTTATATGTTGCTGTTTTGAGGAGTGGCTATTCTATTCTAAAATATGTTATAATTGTTAAACCATTCTTCGTGTTTTGTTGCGTTGATAAAATTTGAAAAAAATTAAAATTTTTTTATTTTGTTAATTGTTTATAGAATAATTTAATATTTTTAAATTTTTTTAACAAAAATTTCTGTTCATTAAAGTTTTAAAAAAGCAAAAAAACAATCAAGAATGCCGTTAGCTGTTGATCTTCTCCATCCTGACCCAGTGAAGGAACAGCAAAAACACAAACTTAAACGTCTTGTTCAACATCCAAATTCTTTTGTAAGAAAGAGAAGTTTTTTTTTTAATTTTATTTAATATGCGGGAGATAAGGTCTTTAAGACTGGGGGGTTTGGATCGATAACGTTTAATTTTTTTTGAAAATGGCTAACCTTAAGTTTGCTGTCACATGTGTTTTTGATACTCGTTTATCTTTTTGTTCTTTTTCAACTCCTTTTGGGCTTTTTAGTATTTTAGCGTTTAAGCTTATTACGCATTATAATTAGCTTCTTCCCTTCCTCTATTTTTGTTGTTGTAAAATAATTTTGTCTTTTTTTTAAAGTTTATGGATGTTAAGTGTCCTGGATGTTATAAAATTACGACTGTTTTTTCGCATGCCCAATCTGTTGTGGTAAATTTTTGAAATTCTTTAGATTTAAATTTTTTATTTTTTTCTAGGTCTGTGTTGGTTGTAGTACAGTGCTTTGCCAGCCTACAGGTTTCCTAAAATTAAAAAAAATTATTTTTAATTTAAAAAAGGTGGAAAGGCCCGTTTAGTTGAAGGATGCTCTTTCCGCAAAAAGGGACACTAAATGATTTGAAAGAAGGGAGGATATGAAAGGTTTTTTTAAATGAAAGAAAAATGTGTCGAAATTTTTGTTAAGTTTATTTTTTGGATATGTTGATTTTTAAATTGTTGAGATAAAAAAATAATAAAAAAATTTTTTGAGTTTTTGGAATTTCGTAAATTTTCGAATTTATATATTTTTTTTAGATTTTAAGTCCTTTATTAATGTTTTTAATACAATCAAGCTTCGCTTATATAAACACGCCAAACCTTATGTCGACCGTTAACGCCTGAAAATGAGTGTGGGTCTTATCTAGGAGGGACGGGTTCTTTTATTGTGTTAGCGGACGGGCTTGCGTACGGGTAAACAAAAAAAGTTGTCCGCAAATATTTTTTTGTCCGCAATTTTTGTCCGCAATTTTTTTTGTCAGCAAACAAAAAAAACTTTTTTATCCTTTACAATCCTCATAAAAATTATTTTTATTTTTAAGGATTTTCTAAAAACTAATTAATTACTGGTATTTTTTATCGAATTTTCTTTATTATTAAAAAATGATTAGCAGATCTCAACTAAATTTATGCAAAAATTTATTTAAACAAAAACAATTTCAACATAAATTCTCAAGCCAATTAAAATTTAATAAAGATGTTTTGAATAAAAGAGGAATAAATTCAACAAATAATTCAAAAATTAATTTTGATGATGCCAAATTAATATTTACTAAAGATTCTAAATTTGCTTCTATTGAATTGTTTCAAGAAGGTTTTTTTTATTTTTAATTTAATATTATGGTTGAGGTTGGGATTTTAGTCTGGCCCGGGCAGGCCCGTAGCTAGGATTTTTTTCGGGGGGGGGGGCCAAGGGGGGAAAATTTTTATTTTCAGCGCCGCAGGCGAAAATATTGAGAATTTTAGAAGGCCGTAGGCCAAAAAAATTCACTTTTTCGGCGCCGCAGGCGCCGAAAATTTGATTTTCAGCGCCGCAGGCGAAAATTTTTTGAATTTTGGACCTCAAGAAGCCAGATTTCTTCCATTTTTAGCGCCGCAGGCGAAAATTTTTTAAATTTCAGAGGCCGTAGGCCAAAAAAATTCACTTTTTTTGCCCCAGCCCTTCCCCAAATTTTTTCCTTTTTCCCATTTCGGGGGGGGGGGGAATTCCCCCCCTCACCCCCCCCCCCCTGGCTACGGGCCTGGGCCCGGGTACACCCCAACTTACCGCGAGCCCAACTTACTTTCGTTCGGGACGGCATGGTATATTTATTTTTGGGTATATTATATTTCTGGGACGGCATGGTATAGTTCGATTCAGCTCGTCGAGGCGCATCGAACTATACCAGGACGTCCCGGATTCGAGAATTTCGAACGAAGTTATAGCTTTGCGGTAAGTTGGCCTGCTCCCGTCTGGCCCGTAGCCGTGATTTTTTAGGGGGGGGGGGCAAGTCTCCCTACCGCACCGAGGTTTTATTTTTCTGTTGGTTGTTTTGTTTTCCTATTTTTTTTTGTTGGGTTTAATTTACCATGGGCTTATTTTCACTTATTTTATCTTGAAATTTTTTTTTGAAAATCCTACTCTAAATTTCCTTGTTCCAAAAAAATTTTTTTCCATTCTTCAGGTTCAAATAATTCAACAAACGAAAAGAATACTTTCCGTATACCTTTGGTTTGGTTACGCGATCATTGCCGTAATTCAAATTCTTATAATTGGGATACAAATCAACGAAAGGCTAATTGTACAGATTTGTTTGGGAAAGCTGTTTTGGCTGAAGATTGGTTTTTTTATTAAAAAAAAAATTTTTTTTTAATTTTTAAAAAAATTTTTTTTAATTTTTAATGAATTTTCTAGTTATCCAATACATTTTGATGTTCAAACACAAAAATTAAAAATTAATTGGGCTGATGGAGAAGAAAGTGTTTTTGTTGTTAATGAATTGCTTAAATGGGGATTGTTTTCTGAAAAGGTTTCTTCTTCTTTAATTTTTTAACTAGTCGATGGGCCGGTTTGAGGAAACAAAGTTTGAGTAATGTTTCGGGAAACTCCGTTCAAAATAATCGAATCCACGAGGCCTTCGTATGATTCGATTCAGCTCGTCGAGTCTCATCGAACCATACCAGGCTAAAAAGGGAGTATTGTTAGAGGACCTCCAAATTTCTATTTATTTTGTTAGAAATGACGTTTGTTTTTATGCAAAATAACTTTGGGTAAAGTCAAAATTATGAGGCTAAAAGGAGCAATTTCTTTTTCTTTTTTTCTGCTCGAAAACCCCAATCAAAAAACCAACCAAAACTATTTAAAGTAAACTTCTTATTAAAATTACGATTTTCCCGAGACTGTCTAAAATGAGATTTGACTATATTACTAAAATTTAATTTTGCAGCAATATACACAAGAATGTATTGATGTTGATTTAGATGATGATGATGGAGTGGGTAAAAGTTCGTGTCCTTCGAGAACTTTGTGGAGAGGAGAAAGTTTAAAGGAGGTTCCGTCGCTTTCTAGGTTTTTATTTTTAATTTCTAAAAATATGGAAATTTGGGTAATCCTTTTCGGAATCTGTGGCTTGTCGGTTTTTTTGGTAGTAGAACCGGTCCTTGGGACTTATAAAAAAATCCTAAAAACGGATCTGATTGATCTTTTTTTAGCCATGAATATTTTTAAAATTCACTATATTTGGGATTAGACGACTAATCCGGACTTTTTGCGTTTACTCCAAAAATTTGGAAAATTTTTAGAAGCCTCCAAATATTTTTTTTAAATTCCCAGTCCTTCCACCTTAAAATTCTTTTTAAAAATCGCCAAATATTTTCTCTATTTTTCAGCATAAATTTTGATTTTTCAACCTTTGCTCGTCTTTTTATTCGTTTTGGAGTTGTTTGTGTAACTGGGGTAGAAGCACATGACAGAGGGAAAGCAACACAAAAATTGTGTGAAAAAATAGCCCCAATGCACAATACCTTCTTTGGTGATTTTTGGCATTTTGGGACAGATAATGAACTTGGAATGGCTACTTTTGATGACACAGCATATGGGAGTGAGGAAATTGGACCTCATTCTGATGGAACTTATTTTGATCAACCACCAGGAATACAAGTTAATTTCTTTAATTTTGAAGGGGTTTTGGGTACTTTTTAATGCCCTAACGCCTAAATCAGGCCCGTAGCCAGGAAATATATTGGGGGTGGGGGGCATCCCTCCTGCGAAAAAATTTTCCCTCCTGGCAGGAATACCAAATTTACACATTATGCCATTTTGGAATTACCTTTTTATAAAACTATGTTGGCAAGAAGTCCGCAAAAAAATTTTTTTATCCGCAAGTTGCGGACTCCGCCGTGTAAGACTGAATCTATTTGTTAGATGAAAAGGTGTTATGGGAAGTTAGACGTCGTATAGGAGAACTTAAAGAAACACTAATGTTCGATCAACATGTATATAACTTGCGGATAAATAATTGCGGACTTTGCCAGCAAATTAACAGAAAAGTACCCAAAAGATTTTTTAATTTAAAGGTTTTCCATTGTCTAAAACCAGCATTAAAAGGCGGCCAAACAATATTAGTTGATGGATTTTCTGCTGCAGAAATATTAAAATTTGAGAATTTAAATCATTTTCATATTTTGGCCAACTTTGCTGTAGAGCATCATTATGTGGATAAAGATAATTTGCATGCAAGATGTGTTAGGGAGCCAGTAATTAAATTGTTTCCAAGAGTTGAAAAAGTGGTGCAAATTAGATACAAGTTTGTTTAGATTTTTAAAAATTTTTTTAAACTTTTTTAATTCAATTTGCGGACAAAAACTTGCGGACATTTTTGGCGGACTTTAAATTTTCTTAACTAAAAATTTTTTTTTAGTCTTTTCTAGTTATAATATTTAATAATCCTTCAAAAATTTTCATTTTTAGACAAGCTAAAAATAATTTCCCCTAAGGGGGTTCGAACCGTCGACCCCTCTTGTAATAAAACCTAACATCTTCCCACTACACCAATGTTTTAAAAATTTTTTTTCTTTAGTCCATATGATCGTGCTCCAATGAAAACCTTGAGAATAAATAAAGAAGAAAAATTGAATGAAGAAATGGAGGAAAATGTTTCAAAATCTTTAGGTTTTTAATTGTTTTTAGATTAAAAGAATTTAAATAAGGAGGTGGAAAAGGGGCTGATTTTCCGAACTTGAAAAATATTTTGGTTCTTTTTCTAATTAGATATTTAATGATCCTTCGAGAATTCCCATTTTTTAACGAATTAAAAATAATTTCCCCCAATAGGGTTCGAACCTTCGACCCCCTACATGTATAATCTAAACATTATCCCACTACACCAAAGTTGAGGATAGTCTTTTAATTGGATTTCTTGGTTTCTCCCCTCCCTCTAAACATTGTAGAAAAATAATTTCTCCCAATGTGGTTCGAACCTTCGACCCCCTACATGTATAATCTAAAAATTTTCCCACTACACCAAAGTTGAGAATAGTTTTAAAATTGGATTTCTTTGTTCCTTCCCTTCCTCTAAACATTGTAAACGTCTAAAAAATGATGTTTTATTTTTTTTCTCAATTTTTAGAAGAAACTGTTTTATTCTACGAAGCATATCAACGCTTTGCTCGAATTCTAAATGAACCTGGACAACAAGTACAGATCATGTTGAAACCTGGAAATGTTCTTTTTATTGATAATTTTCGAATTCTACATGGGAGAAAGGCTTTTCAGGTTTTTTTTCTTAATTTTAATTTTTTGAATTAAAATCTTTTTTAAAGGGAGAACGTGCAATGTGTGGTTGTTATTTGTCTAGAGATTGTTTTCTTGCAAAAGCTAGGCCTTTACTTTCACCTGAATTCTATCAAAATGTCTAAAAGTTATATTTTTTAATTTATTTATACTGAAATTGCAAATTAACAAAATTTTCTAAATAAAATTAACTTAATTGCCATAAATAATGCACAAAAATTTTTTTAAAAATTTCGGTTCATTTGGTCATTTTTGGGTAATTTTTTATTTGGTTATTCTGACGTCTATAGAATTCTCGAAATAATAAATTGTCTCGGAGCGAAAAGAAACAAAATGGTACCCACGCCCCCTGTTATTTTTTTCTCATCCTCAATCCTAGGCACTCCTGCAGGTTTGAGGTAGGAGTACCGCCGTTCTGGAGGAGTACCCACCTAGGAGTACCTAACGCCGTTCTCTGACCATTATGAGACTATAATTTTGGTACCAAATTTTGAACTCCTGCCCCTTAAACGGCAGGAGTGACTAATCCTTTAACATTTTGCACATTTGTCTGATTTTTTGAATAGTTTCGAGTATATCTACTTAGTTCTCTGCCTCCCTTTGAGTAATCCCCGTCTTCTACTTTCCCTCATTTGTCTATGATGATGTAAAAAAGCGGCAGTAGCTGCAGGCGTTGAAGTATTTAAATTACTGCTGTGCCTCCTTCTATTCCCCCACCATTTACAATTAATTATTCTCATATAAGTCATTCGAAAACGAGCATTACATAAAGCATAACATAATGGGTTGATTGTTGAATTTATATATGAAAGGACTTGAAAAAAATAAATTTTTATGATTAATATTTGCAAAATTAAAATGATTGCACCCAGGCGGGTTCGAACCCGCACCCCCACCTAACAAAATCTAAACATTTTCCCACTACACCAAAGTGTCGTTTTATTTATGTAGTTCAAGGACAAAATGGAACTAAAGACAGAATGGTACCTAACAAAAATGTTACACCGACAAAAAGGAACATAATCAAAAATGGTACACCGACAAAATGGTGCATGGACAGAAGGGTACATGGGACAAAATGGTACACTGATAAAAGGGCACATGGATAAATGGTACTGTTACCTAACCCAATCTCCCCTTGCTACATACCGTACCCATATTTAATTTAACTCAAATCTTCGTAATTTTAAAATCAACTAACAATAGCTAATAGTAAATAACGAAATTGGCACAGAATTTGGATAAAAAGCTTCCAAACAGACAATAACTAAAATAGAAAAATTATTTTTTTATCAAAATTGACTTTAAATTTACCATGATAAGGAGTACAGGTAATAATAAAGGCACAAAGGATAGCTTAAATTAAGTAATACAGTATTTAGTACAGTATCTAATTTACCGGAAAGTGTTTTGGCTGCCTTACTTTCTTGTTTTCTTTCATTTCGACGACGCTCTTTTTCGCTCTGTCTCATCTTCAAGAAGAAAAATTAGTGGAGGGTTTCAAAGAGAAGACGGTTGGACCTTATTATAAGATACACCCTTGGGGCTAAAACGAAATTTAGAGACAAAATGGTACCCGGACAAAAGGGTACACGACATAATGACAAAATGATTTATCTTATAATGAGGTTTCTACTGTATTAATTTACTTGTTCTTCCCTAATCATTTGTATTTCACTTTTACGCATTAAAACACCATTAGGTTGTTGTTGTTGGGTAAATGATGAAGAAAAATTATTGTTATTATTATTTAAACGAAGAGATCCTCCCCTTCCCCCAGGGGCACTCTTTACAAGTCTTAGACGACGTTGTTCTTCCAAACTTGGAGATTCCTTCAACTCTTTCAAGTCTTCCTTTTCAACAAATTTGCGTTCTACAGAATTTCGAGTACTTAGGGACTCTACTTCTGCTTGAGATGAGAGGCGGACAGAAGGTCGTTGGCTTGTTATTATTCCCCCACCTTTATTGTTGCCTTCATTTCCTTCTGGATATTCAATTATTACGATGGAATTGTAACTAAAAATAATAAAAATATTTTTAAATAACTAAAGTCTTCAGAAAAAAAAAAAATTTCATTCAATGGGATTCGAACCATCGACCCCCTCCCCCCCAAAGACCACAGCCTTCGCCACTACACCAAGGTGGCAACAAACAGTCCCTTCCATTAAATAAATTTAAGGAGACAATTGTGAACGACCGACATTTGAGAACACGACATTTAAAACTCCCTAGTCATTAGAGGTAATTTAAAAAACCCCTCACGTATGAACAGAAGATGGACGTGAAGTCCTTTCCAACTCCACTATAGGCATTTTTCCACTTCCAATACTTCTAAAACTTCCAACAGGTATTGTTGAAGAACTTCCTTTATGGTATTGAAATTGTAAAAGTTGTTGACTTTTCTTTCTTTCCTCCTCAATTAAAGCTTCTCTACGTTCTGCTGCTTTTGCAACAATTATACTTTCCCAATTTTCGTGTTGTCTAAAAATAGGGGGGTTGAATTAGTGGTAAAAGACCGTTCGCCGATTCAGTCTTAAGGCCATTTTTTGGCCATAACTTTTTGGATTCTTAACCGATTTGAATAATTTTTGTATCAATCGAAAGCTCTTAATTTGAGGATTATTTTAGCAAGCAGGAGTTTTCGACCGGATCATTCTATTAAAAGTTACAGCCAAATAACTATCAAAAAACTCGATTCCGCACACTTATTTGGCTATAACTTTTTGTAGGGTGATCGGATCAAATCAATCCTGATAGCTAAAATAATCCTCACATTCAGAGCTTTCGATTGGTATAAAAATTATTTGGAAAGAATGAATAACAAAAAAGTTATGACGCAAAAAAGGAGACTGAATCGTTAGCAAAAAATAGCCGCAAAAAAATTTTTTGTCCGCAAAAATTTTTGCGGACAAATTTATTTTTACCTAAATTCCCCTCCATCCCCACAAGAATTATTAGCCAATTCAATAGCTGTTTGTTCTGCCATAATGGAATCTAAATTTGAAGTAGTCAATCCACAAGTTTCTTCTTCTTCCCCTCCAATCCCCCCATCATCCCCTCCCAACACGCCAACAGAATCTTCTGTGGATATACATTCTGAAGAGGATTGGGTTGTTACATTACGTCCTGTACAGAATTTTAGAAGGGAGAAGCGTTCTCGTTTTCTGAAAAAAAAATTAAAAAAAAATTTTTTTGTAGGCTTTCAAGATTTTTAGAAAATTCTCTTAGGTATTTAAATTTAAAAAGGGAAGGGGCCGTCAACGTTGCTTAACTTAACAGAACGGACGGCAACGCCCACTAAAAAGAACTGACACACCAAATCAAATAAAAGGCAAAAAAATTATTATACAAATATAGTCTTTTTTGTTTATATTTCTCAAGTTAAGCAACTTTGAGGGGTCTTGGGCATTTTAAAAATATCCAAAAAATTTTCTAAAAATTTTTTAATAAGTTTATCAACTCATTTTTATTATTTTTATATTAAAAACACCCATTTTGATTTTTAAAAATTCCTAAAAAATTTTTACAGGGTGAGAGATAGAGGCTTCTCTAGAGGAGCAGCCCAACTTACCGCAGAGCTATAGCTTCGTTCAAAATTGTCGAATCCGGGAAAACATGGTATGGTTCGATGCATTTCGACGAGCTGAATCGAATCATACCAGGGCGTCTCTTCTACATTTTTAACAAAGTTATAGCTCTGCGGTAAGTTTGGGGTATACCCCTTCTCTATAGACAACGACTATGGAAAGGAAAGAGAGGCAAAAAAATTTTTTTTTAATTTTTTTAATTTTAAAATTCTCTCCTCACTTTTTAACACAATTTCCATCATTATATAAACTTGTTTGTTGTTGTTTATTATTCCCAATTAAAATATCCAAAAAATTAATTTTTGTTGTTGAAGTGTGTGATTTTAATGAAGAATTTAAATTATTGTTGGGAATTAAAGTTGATATTTCCGATAGGGAAGTTGTTGGGGGTGGTGGGGGTGGTTGTAGACCTCTAATCTGTTTAATTTTGTTGAATTTATTTTTTTATAAAATTAATTTTAAATAAAAAATTAAGGGAAAGGAAGCAAAATACGGACAACTAGACAGTAAACATAAAAAAAATAAAAAAAATAAAAATTTTGAAAAATAAATAAAAAGTGAACAAAATTAATAAAGAAAATTAACAAAAATATAAGAAAAAAATAAAAGAAAAAAATTTTTTTTTAAATAAATTTAAAAAAAACGAAAATTCTAACCCAAAAAATAAGAGGTCTGTAACAACCTAGAGAACCTACTAGCTTCAATAGGCTATAACTTTTTCTGTCTTGACCGAATCAGAATAAACTTTATACCATTTGATAGCTATCGATAGCCGCTATCTTTTCTTTAACAGGATGGATCCTGTCTGAAACTCATAAGAAAAGTTACAGAACGATATGTGCAATTATTTGGTGTTTTTCGCGTTTAATGAGGCATAACTTTAAAGTGAGTGATCAGATCTGATTCATCCAATTAGAAAAAAGATAGAGGCTATCGAGAGCTTTCGAATGATATAAAATTTGTTCTGATTGGATAAAGTCCAAAAAAGTTATAGTCGAGAATAAGAGGGGAGTTGGTGTCTTTATTTGCCTCTTTCAATGTATTTTCCCAAACCAACAGCAAAAAAATTTATTTAAATTAAAATAAAAAAAATTTAAACAGCACGCAGAAAGGATAGAAAACAAAAAAATATTTTTAAATTTAATTTAAATACCAATGGAGCTAATGGAAGTAGCAAGGATTGAAGTGCTGGGGTGTTTGCCAATTTGGAGGAGGATGGAAAGAGCTGTGAATTTTGTATTTTTTTCTTACTTAATTTAATTTTAAATATTAGAAATGACTTGAAAATAATTTTAAAAAAATTCAAAAAAATTTTTTAATCACGCCGATTAATTGGGCATTTTTTTAATTTTTTAAAGTGCAGAAAAAAAAGCACAAAGGGTAAACTTGCAAAAATTAAAAAAATTGTTAGGAAGAGATATGAGAAGAATAAAAAAATTAATTAATAAAACAAAATTTACTTGTTGTTGTCCAGCCTGTAATTTCCTCAACTCCTTTCGACGTCTGCGTGTTTCCAAATAAACTGAATGAGAAAATGTGTTTTTAAATGAATTAACACAAATAAAACTAAATTTTCCGGAAAACACAAAACATTGTATTTTATCAAATAAAGAATTATAAAATTTCCGGAAAGGTTATATTCCGGAATTTATATTTTTAAATATAAGCATGTTTCCGGAAAAAGTATATTTTCCGGAAAAAGTATATTTTCCGGAAAAAGTATATTTTCCGGAAAAAGTATATTTTCCGGAAAAAGTATATTTTCCGGAAAAAGTATATTTTCCGGAAAAAGTATATTTTCCGGAAAAAGTATATTTTCCGGAAAAAGTATATTTTCCGGAATAAGTATATTTTCCGGAATAAGTATAGTTTCCGGAAAAATATACCTAATTAAATACCTTTATAGTAAAGAACAATCATTAGCGTTACTGGAATATAAAAGGCTGCTGCGGACGTGAACTAAATAGAATTTTAAATATTTTTAAAAATTAAGAAAAAAATATTACCAAGGTTGCTAATTGATTTTGCCACGTTCTAGTATCACCCAATACCAAAAACTAAAAAATAAAAATTTTTATTTTTTTTTATTCAAGTAATTACCTGAACAACACATAAAGAACTTTCTTCAACAATAAAACGGCCTTCCATATATGGCCATAAAACTATCCACGGTGGCCATAATAAAAGGGATATTGTATAAGTACAAGAAATCATAATTAAAGCTTTTCTTGTTGTTCTCCTAGAATAATTATTTATTTGGTATCACGACTTTTGCGCCGAGAACATTTGCGCCGCGACTTATGCGCCGCGACTTTTGCGCCGGGCGACATTTGCGCCGCGAATCTTGCGCCGCGACTTTTGCGCCGGGCGACTTATGCGCCGCGACATTTGCGCCGCCATTGTTTTAAAAATCCGGATCCGAAAAATGCCGGATATGCGAAATTTTCAGTTCGGATATCGGATCCGGATATCCGAAGATTTCCAACTATCCGACACCCCTACTAAAGTAAGGTCCGGCTGTAGTTATTCATATATTTTTAATGATAATGGCGGCGCAAAAGTCGCCCGGCGCAAAAGTCGCGGCGCAAAGGTTCCCCGGCGCAAAAGTCACTCGGCGCATATGTCGCGGCGCAAGAGTCGCGGCGCAAGAGTCGCGGCGCAAATGTTCACGGCGCAAAAGTCACGGAACCATTTATTTTACGGAAAGTTTGGAATAATTTCCATAAATATTACATACATTTCCGGAAGTTATAATGTTTCCGGAAAGTTATTTAAATAATAAAATGATAGTTATATATTTTCCGGAAAGTTTATTTTTTTATATTTTCCGGAAAGTGGTATAATAATATTTATATTTTCCGGAAAGTTATATATTTTCCGGAAAGTTTATTTTTTATATTTTCCGGAAAGTAGTATAATAATATTTATATTTTCCGGAAAGTTATATCTACCGGAAAAAGTTTATTTTTTTATATCTTCCGGAAAGTGGTATAATAATATTTATATTTTCCGGAAAGTTATATCTTCCGGAAAAAGTTTATTTTTTTATATCTTCCGGAAAGTGGTATAATAATATTTTCCGGAAAGTTATATCTTCCGGAAAAAGTTTATTTATATATATTTTCCGGAAAGTGGTATAATAATATTTATATTTTCCGGAAAGTTATATCTTCCGGAAAAAGTTTATTTATATATATTTTCCGGGAAGTGGTATAATAATATTTATATTTTCCGGAAAGTTATATCTTCCGGAAAAAGTTTATTTATATATATTTTCTGAAAAGTAGTATAATAATATTTATAGTTTCCGGAAAGAATATAATTTGTACTTCTAAAAGTTTCCGGAAGGTTATTTAAATTGATATTTTAGTTATTTATTTTCCGGAAAGTTTAATTATTAAAAATACAGTTCTAATATTTATAGTTTCCGGAAAAGGAATATAATTTCTATTTTCTAAGCTTCCGGAAAAAGTTTATAATCTACTTTGGTCTGTAAGTAAGAGGACGAGTAACAGAAAAGTATCTATCAAAGCTAATTAACAACAAATTGAGAGCTGAAGCATTGCACATTAAATAGTCGATACAGAGCCAAACTAAAATTTTTAATTTAAATTAAATTTATTTTTAATTTTACATTGGCAAAGAGAATATCCAAAGGTCCAAGTCTCATTTGCCTTTGAATTTAAAAAATTTTGGAAATTTTTAAAAATAAATTACCGTATATAAAGTCATAAGAGGGATGGAAATAAGCTTAAAAATTAAAAAAAAATTTTTTTCACTTAAAAAAATTTTTTAATCACCCCAATAGTAAGGTCAGCTACAGCTAGCGAAAAAAGAAAATAATTGGAAATTGTTTGTAATTTTTTATCAACACAAATTGAAAGCTGTAAAATTCAGAATTTTAATTGAAAAATTAAAAAAAAATAATTTTTCTACCATTACAAGAGCATTCCCAATCGTTGTAGCCAACGAGAAGAATACCCCAATAATTACAATAAATACAATCCACCCCATTTCCTTCAAACTTTTGGCAATTTTTCTTTCATTTTTTGATGTTTCTTTTAAATTTTTGGTGGAAGATGAGGGTAATATTGTTGTTGTTGTTTTTGTTGAGGTTGTTGGAGGGGGATTTGTTATTGAAATTTTTGTGTTAGGCAGGGAAGTGGAAGCACTCCCGTGAAGGACAGCGTTTACAAGAGGGCGAACTTTAATATTTTTTTAATTAAAAAATTTTATTTTTTTTACCAATAATTTTTCTTCTTTTGGAAGATTTCCCTTCTTCACTTCTTTCAATGTTTCGTTGTCCGTAACGAAAGTTTCTGGTGGTTGTTCCAACATGCCCTGACTGTTTTTAAAAATAAAATGTTTTCCGGAAAGAAATAATATAAAGTCTTTAATAATAAACAGAAGTAATAAAATTCCGGATAGAAAATAGTTTCCGGAAGGCTTAGAATAGAATACAAAATTAATTCCGGAAAGAGTATAACTATAGCAATATTCGCATATATTTCCGGAAAGTTTAAAATAAATTCCGGAAGGCTTAGAATAAAATACAGGATTAATTCCGGATAGAATATAACTATAGTAATATTCGCATATATTTCCGGAATTAAAAAATAATTTCCGGAAAGTTTGGAATAATTAATTCCGGATAAAAATAAAATCCGGAAAAAGTTGAAATAATTTCAGGAAGGCTTGGAATAAAATCCAGAATTAATTCCGGATAAAATATAACTATAGTAATATTCCGAATAAATTTCCGGAAAGTTTAAAATAGATTCCGGATAGAAACCGGAAGGTTTAAAAAAGTTTAGAATAATTTCCGGATAGTATATAATTTCCGGAATTTAAAAATAATTTCCGGAAAATTTGGAATAATTAATTCCGGATAAAATATAACTATAGTAATATTCCGGATAAAAATAAAATCCGGAAAAAGTTTAAAATAATTTCCGGAAAAAATTAAAACTATTCCGGAAAGAAAATAATTTCCGGAAAAATATATGTATATTCAAGTTTTACCGCTAGTCGTTGAAAGAACAATGTAATGTCTTCTCTAGGCATTTCAGCAACTGAAGCAATACTTTTACTACTACTTTCCTCTGGCCATTCAAAAAAATGTTGTTCTTTAGGAGTAACTGAAGCATAAAATGAGCAAAAAATAAATAAAGTGAAGAAAATTTTAAAAGGAAGGCTTTTTGACATTTTTGGATTTTTAAAGGCAGAAAATTAATTTTTTAAGAAAATTTTAAAAATTTTCCTAAATTTACATTCTAAAAATAAAATTTTAAATTAATTAGTAAGTAGATTTCTTTAAAAATTATTTTTTTATTTTTTTTTAGATTTGCGTGCCAAAAAGCACTGAAAATTATTTTTTGAATACACTACTACTTAATATACACTATATAATTTTGTGACCAAAAAAAGTGAAAAAAAGTATAAAAATTATTATGTAGTTGAGAGAAGCGTCACCAACCCCATTTTCTGTCTATTTTTGTTTTTTAAGAAAATTTTTTTTTTAATTTTTTTATTTAAAATATAGGGTGACACAAAAATAACCGGACACCTTATTTAAGCCATAACTTTATTTAAACTGAAGATAATGGGATCAAATAAAATTTAAGTGATAGGGAATTAAATAAGGATTTAGAAATATATAAGCAAGAATTTAGAAAATAATTTTGGAAGTGCCCATATTTGCTTGGATACAAAGATATAAGAAATATTTTTGGTTGAAACTAAATCTATTTTTCAATTAAAAATTGATAAAAAAAATTATTTTTCTTTTTTTTACTTCTTTTAAAATCGAAAAAAAATTTTTTCTTGAAGGATTTAAAAAATATTTTTTTTCTAAAATATTTTTTTTGTTTATTTTAAGGGCCAAATGGAGTGGAAGAGACTTTTCTTCTACTAATGAAAATTAGGAAAAAAAAGAAAATTTAAAAACGTAATTATTAAAAATAAAAATATATATTTAAATATACTTTTTGTATTTGTGTGGGCGAAAAGAAGAAAAAAAACTTTTTTAAATGGCGTGTTGGTAAAGCTAAATTAGAACACGGGTAAATGAACTTGTAAAGACGTTAAAACCTGAATAAGTTTAAAAAAAAGAAATTTTAGTAAAGAAAATTAAGGTTTCCGGTTGTTCTGATTTTTCAAGCTTATTGTCAGAAGTTGTAAAAACCAGAATTCTGATAATTAAAAATAACGAGAAAAATATAACCGGAAATATAACCGGAAATACAACCGGAAATTAGAAGAAGAAAATAATTTTTACAATTGTAATTTGAATTTGTAAAATTAATAACCGGAAGAAAACGGGAAAACAATAAATAAATATATAAAATAACCGGAATAACTATAATAATATAACCGGAAAAGGATATAAACGGAAAAGAATATAACCGGAATAGAATATAACCGGAATAGAAAATAACCGGAATAGAAAATAACCGGAAAAAAAATAACCGGAAAAGAATATAACCGGAAAACAAGTTTTACAATTGTAATTTGAATTTGTAAAATTAATAACCGGAAGATAACCGGAAAATATATAAAATAACCGGAATAACTATAATAATATAACCGGAAAATAACCGGAAGAGAATATACCCGGAAAAGAATATAACCGGAGAAGAATATAACCGGAATATAACCGGAAAAAAATATAACTGGAATAGAATATAACCGGAAAAGGATATAACCGGAGAAGAATATAACCGGAAAGGAATAAAACCGGAATAGAATATAACCGGAAGCAATAATATATAAAATAACCGGAATGACTAATAATATAACCGGAAGAGAATATAACCGGAAATAAGTTTTACAATTGTAATTTTTTTAAAAATAAACTTTTTTGAATTTGTAAAAACATTTCAAATTTATTTAAAGTTTATTTTTAATAATTACAATTGTAAAATTTATCAACAACCTGAAAGAATAAAAAAGGGTTGTTTAAGAGCTTAATAAAAATATAATTGTCAACTGCTTATAATAATTTAGGTGATGACAAGTACTTCTAACCCTAAACAAACTCTTCTTCCCCTCAATCATTTTCTTTTAATTTTTTCTTTAAAAATTTCTTTTTCAATCGAATTTCTTTTTTTAAGCGAAGATAAGAGATGGGGGGGATATGTAAAAAAGAGGTGGGGGTTAGGAGGAAGAGGGGGGTTAACGCCAAATGTCAAAAGAATTAGTGCCCGCCGGCGGGAATTGGCAAAATATAGAGGAAAATAAAAAAGAAAGCTTAAGTAGAAAGACCACAAAACTAAAAGAAGCAACTGTCGCCTTAAATAAAAACACACAAAAATGAATTTTCCTGAAAGTTGTGTGCAGAAAAAAACATTAACGAGTTAATAATGTATGTATGTAAAAACAGTAAAAAATAAATTGTAAACTATTTTTGTATAAAAATTTTAGGAGGATAATGGGTATAGGGGAAATTTAGGTTATAGGAGAACTATAGGGGAGGAATAAAAAGATTGCTAACATAAACTTGGGGAATATCAGAATTTGTAAAAATATTAGTGATACAATTGTAATTATTTTACGGTTTGACGGGACCTTTGTCCCTAACAAATTAAAAAATAAGTAAAAGTATGTTTTATACATACTCTTCATAAAATTTTATTTTTTTTCCAAAATTTCCAAAAATATTTAAATAAAATATTAAATAAAATTAAATAAAAATGGAAAGTGCAAAGTAATAAATTTTAAAGGAAAATAAAATAAAAAGAAAAACTTTGAACCTTATTATCATAAGGTTCAAATTAAACAATAACAAGGCAATTAAGCCATGCATGTATAAGTTTAATCGTTTATCGAGAGATCGTGAACGGCTCATTATAATGGCCAAATTTTTGGCTAAATTTTTGAGAAGAACAGATGTTCTTCTTGCCAGTTTTATCTGGCTTATTTTTGGTTGAACTTTTTATAAAAAGTTAATATTAAAAGAAAATAATTGTACTATTGTTTTCGATTAGAAAACAATAGGAAAAAAGAGAAATAAATATTTTTGCCAGTCAATAACAATCTGGCTGATTGTTTTTGATTAAAAAATAAAAATAGAAGAGAATAGAAAAAATAATTGAAAAAAGCAGAGAAAATAAAATCGCCCACGTTTCTGGAAAAGCTAGAGATAATACATGCACTAAAGCTTTGTCCTCAAAGAGAGAATTTGTGAGCCGTTCAATTTTGGCTTTTCTTTTTAAAACCCCGCCTCCCCCCTTTTTAAGTTTTTTGCTGTCCCTTATTTTTTGTCAGTTTCGAATTTTTAAAAAGAGAAAAAATTAAAATAAAAATAAAAATTTAAAAATATTTGGTTCTTTATTAATTAGGGAAATTTTTAAAAGAAGTTTTTAATTTGGGAAAAATATTTAAAGAAGAAAAAGTTTATTGAAGAATTGGAATTCTTCAGATTTGGTGCTCCCAGGCGGCAACAAAATTTATAATTTAAAAATTTTTAAATTTCTTCAAAATTTTTAAATTTCTTCAATTTATTCAAAATTTTTAAATTTCTTCAATACTACTACCTTCTTCTATTCTGAGTGAAATACCACTTCTTTCATCGATTCTCCTTCAATTTTGCCTTGGCAAAAAATAGTAAATTTTTATTAATTTTTAAAATTAATTTGATAATATTCACACTGAATCCATTGTAAATTCAGTAGTGTTTATATATCAAATTATAGGGGAAAAAATATTAAAAAATAAAATAATTAAATAAAATAATTTCAAATCGAGCCCTTGTACTCGATTTGAAAAGGGTGGTAAATAAAAGAAAAAATATAAGAGAAAATAAATAAAAATTACAAAACGAGCCCTTGTCACTCGTTTTGTAGAAAATCAAATTTAAAAATCAAAATTGTTATTTTTGTGGTTTCTTGCCAGTCTATCTCTACCTTTCTCTCTCTCATTTCCTCACATTTTCATCACACAGTCCCTTGTCAAACTGTGTTGATTAAAAAAGAATTTTGAAGATAATTGGTTGATATTTGCGTGCTTTAGAGTCAAAATTTGTCAGATTTGTGAAGAGTTGGAAAATTTGGATATTTTTGTGGAAAGTATTTTGAAGAAAAATTTTGTAAAATAATAGATAAAAAGAAGAAATTATGTCCGCTCCGCTCAAAACTGCAATTGTATCTGCCTTTAAGGCTTGGATGGAGTTCAAGGATGTGGATTTTGAGGCCGGAATTGAAGCCGGCGACTCCGCGCAGTTGCGAAAAATTAAATATGAAGGAATATATGAAGAATTAAGGAATGAAGTTCAAGCCCAGGAGGCTATTATCACTGACGTAAAGAATGTTTTGACTGCGTGGGGGGACCTTTTGAGGAAAATGAATGGGGAAGAAAGGCGTGCTGGAAATGAAGATTATATTGAATTTAATGAAGTGCATCACGTCGAAAATACTCTTCAGAAGTTCGAGCAGAATGCTAGGTCGCTGAGAGAATATGCTCAGAAGATTTTGACCCAATTGAAAATTGCAAAGCACGACGCCGAAAAGGAGCGCCAGCAGGAGGAGTTGAGATTCCACACGGCAGCAGCAGCCGCGGGGAATCGACTCGAAACTCAGGCGGCTCCGGCGGGACCTGGAAGTTCCCGTTCCCTACATTCTTTGTACCAACTCCCAACTCTACAAATAAGGAAGTTTGGTGGAAATCGACGAGAATGGCTGGATTTTTATGAAAGTTTTAAATGTGCCGTCGACAATTCTGTCGCGTCTGAAATTGAGAAACTGACCCTGCTTCGTTCCTTACTTGAAGGAGAAGCACGAGACCTTATCTCGGGATTTCGACTCGAGACCCGAAGTTTTGAGGAGGCCATAAAATTATTAAAAGATTATTATGGCAATACTGAGGCTCATGTGCGCGACTTGCACATTAAATTGGCCAATCTTAAGCCGTGTCAAAATTTGAAAGACACGAAAAATTTTGCGTTCGAATTAGAACGCTTATCTCGAGAATTAAAAAATGCTCGAGAAGACATAGAAGGCCCGGCAATTTATTTGGCATTGGAGAAAAAATTAAATAAAAATTTTTTGAGAGAAATATTAGTGAAGAAAAATGAGGAAGGTTCAAGATGGAACACTTCCAAATTTCGAGAGGCTTTACATAATGCCTTACAAAGAGAATTGGCCATCCAAGAAGTGCTTTTGGAGCATGATCAGGATAAATCGCATGTTCCAAAAATTCAGAAGCCCCCGCCCAGAAATTTTAATTCAAATCAG